CAACTTTAATTTCATATTGTTTCGGTATTTTATAATCATATACATGATCCAGGGTTAAAATAATTCTTATAGGATCAACATAATCAATCTAAACAAACTGGTAGTGACATTGGTAGTAATACTAATTGGTAGTAACAATATCTTATCTCTCTTTTTTATACTTATTTCTCCCAAAATTTCAGACACATCTCCAGCTACAAGCAGAAGAATGTTTGAGTTTCAAAATTCTTCTACATATTCTTTGTTGTTGTTTTTTTTTTTTTAATATACTGGTTCATTAATTACCTGATTAATCCGATTCAAGCACCGTTGAACTCATTATAAGGGACGACTCCTCCAAAACCATTTTCTCTATTCGCAGAGTTCAAACTCGAGGTCTCTCTGGTTAAGGAAATATATAGTAGTATATGAAACTATACATGTACCCAAAAAAATTTGAAACTATACATGTACCAAAAAAAATTTGAAACTATACACGGACAAAAAGGTATCAATTGTGTAGTATAGAATAACAACAACACTTACAGTTTCATCCGCAAAAGTGCCTCACTCAACCTAACAAAGCCAGAGATTTTGTGTTTCCCTTATAAAGCTTTATTCTCATCCAACCTCCATTGATGTCAATGTCAAACTTTGAAATTTGACATCAAATCCTAACCGTTGGTTTTCGCCAATCAACAATGGTTATCATTTTCGCTAATCAAACTTATTAATCAATCATTAATTCTCAATAAATGATAATCGTTGATTAGCGAAAATTAACAGTTAGGATTTGATGTCAAATTTTAAAGTTTGATACCGGTGTTAAAGGATCCTATCCATATATATATATATATATATATATATATATATATATATATATATATATATATATATATATATATATATATAGGTAAAATCATTTCTGCAACCGTTTTACGTACAACAACGACAGGTGTATGGTTATGGTTCTCCACATTTAATGCTTTCATCTTTTTTATGTTTATGATTCCCAGCATTTAATGCTTTCAAGTATATATATAGCAAGTATTTGATTGTTGCACGTACAGCAGCTACAAAAATATAAACCTCATATATATATATATATATATATATATATATATATATATATAATGTTATGTGTTATTGTTAATTTTGTGGGATTCTTTATGCAATTATTGTGAAAAAAAAAATCTCTTTGGTGGTGTTTGGTTGGGGTTATTTTTGAAGATACCCAGGCATTAGAAATAGGTATTTTTTGATTTCCATGTTTGGTTCAAGATGTTACAAAATTTTGGTAGGAAACGTATTTCCCCATGCTTTAACATTTGTGTGTAAAAAGGGACTAAATTCACTGTGCAATAAAACCACTTGGGACATGGTATATTGAGTTAACCGACTAAATGAATAAAAAGGGTACGACAAATCTGACCATAATACCCTATTGTGCATATCTGAAGTTATGATGCACTGAAGCTTTTTCCCTTTTTGCAGCTCTGATGAACACGAAATGGTCACGCTGAAGCATTGGCCTCAAGGCGTGAGGTGTTGGTTGAAGATAAGAGAGGAAGGTTTCTGGAGGTGGAAGGAGTTGATTTGATGAGCAATGAGAGAGTTTTGAAGGAGAATGGGGAGAAGAAATATGGGTTGTATGGACCAGAAGCTTTTTATGCTGGTGATATAGTGTGGGCCAAAGCTGGGAGGAAGGAACCTTTTTGGCCAGCCATTGTTATTGATACTGTGTCTCAAGCACCTGAGCTGGTTGTGAGGTCTTGGATAGCTGATGCAATATTTTGGTAGAGTCCATGGAAAACAGCATAATGGTGATGACTATTGTCTGTCAATGAAGTTTGAGGAGTTTCTATTTTTACTACTATCAATTGGTATAAGATGTGCATATCACCATGAAGGTTCAAGACTTGTATGAAAGGTGCCTTGCAACTGTAAATACAGTCCAACCATGAATCTGTCTACATGGTTCTTCAACCAGTGCTAAGCATTTTTTCTAAAAAATAAGTCAGATGTTAATATTTTAATAAAGGGTTATTTTCGTCATTTCAACCCTTTTTTTCCATCAATATTCTATCATCAACCAAACATAAACTTTATAAATCTTACCTAATTTGCCCAGTAAATTTTTTTCTAACCAAACAACTTTTTTTACATTTTCCTACCAAACTCACTTTCCAACCATTTCCTTATCAATTACATTTCCCTAGTATTCAAAAAATTCTCCTCAACCAAACGCCCCCTTATTTCTTGGCACGAGAACACTTTTAGTACTCTAGTCGCGTTCATTAATGGATACGGTCATTCAAAATGAGTCACGTGTATTTAATAAGTAAGTTACTAGCGACTGTCTTCATTTTCCTCACAAATACTCTTAGAAATTTCCAGTTCATATTGAACGTTTTTATTCTTTTAATTGCTTAAATCGAATCTTAAGTATAGGTACATGTAATTGTATAAATGATGGGGTTTTCGTTTGTCCTTTAACATGACATGGTAAAGTTTTCTACACACACAACATTTTGTGAGGCCCGCATTTTTTGAAGCAAAAAAAAAAACTAAGACTCGGAAAACGAATCTCAGTAACATGACACAATCACTTTTCTTACAACATAACTTATAAAAACCATAAATGATATGAGTTTTTCTTTTATTATATACACTTATCTCTCCAAAAAGTTTAGACACATCTCCAACTCAAAGAGAGGAATATTTGGGTTTCATTGTTTCAAAAGTCTTCTATATAGCCATTTTAGGGTACAAAATGAATTAAGAAGAAGAAAAGACAAGAGAATAAAAAATCATGACAGTGGCACGTTTGAGAGATATTTGAATGCTAAAGAACTAACATGACCCAATGACCGTCTAAGTTGTGTTAGGTTATATGTTCAATTCTTTCCACACACAAAAAAAAACATTCTTCTTCCTCATAGGCCTGCTTTTTACCCTATGTGGTAGATACTCAAAAGATCTTAAAGTAGCGACTTAATTTATATATAAATATGGGAATGGAGGAGACAATCATATAGGGTTGGCAAAACAGGCCAACCCGGCTTGACCCGGCCCAACCCGTATTCAACTCGAAAAAACGAGCCGGGTTAGGGTTGGTCCGGAAAAAAAATGAGCCAGAAAATCCAACCCAACTCAACCCGAGCCGAGTTAGGGTTGGCTCGCAAGTTGGCTCGAAAAACAACTCACGAGTTGGCTCGAAAAATAACTCGGTGGGTTGCTGTGGAACTCTGATCTCTTCTTCAACAAAACTCTTGTGTAAGAATCACCAATGATAATGGTAAAGAGAGTAGCTAATAAAAAAAGAAAAATATTCTCACTGAAAGCAATCGACATAACCATCTCACTGAACTTGCTATTTTATCCACAAAACAAACAAAAAAAGGTACAGAAATCATTGTAAATCACCAAAGATGCTTTTTTTCTTCTTACCGACTTCGATTAATTACCGAAAAGCATAGATCAATACTAAGTCCAATGTAAAGAACCGTGCACTATTTATTCGTAAACAATAAAACACTGCACTTAGAGTTGAAGGGGTGCAAGAGAATTTCACGAAAATTAAACATTCATAAATAAGCTTCTTTATAAAAACACAGTCGCAATCGGGAACAGATGAAACAACACTAATCGACAAAACAAAACAAAATAAGAGTAGTAATATTATCACCATTGAACGATTTTTATCATTGAAAGCAGAAGAAAGAAGAACCTTGATAATGGTGTGTTGATGTGAGAAGATTAGGGTAAAAAAAAGGAAGAAGGAAGAAAGAAACTGGCGGAGCTGGGTTGGGGAAGAAAGAAACTCGCGAGCTGGCTCGTTTAACTCACGAGTTGGCTCATTTTTTCACGAGTTGGTTCGGGTCGGGTTGACTCGGGTTGGCAGCTCATTTTTGCCAACCCAACCTGACTCATTTTTGACTGGTTAGCTCATTTTTGCCAACCCTACAATCATATGAAATTTTTGTGTTATTTTTTGTGGTAAACATGTTATTGTTCTCTTCATTAATGTTAACAAATTATAGTCAAATTCTATTTATTTAATACATACAACAAGAGAGATATGCACAAAAATTCCACATCTATAATGACATCATAAGAATTTTAACATAATTCCATATAAATACTGAGTGGATTTATGTCAATAGGTATTAATTTTCCTCTTTTCGTGCTCCCTATTTGACTCGCACAACAGGAGCAACAACTTTTAAACCGTTGAAGATTTTGAAGAATCACTGCATATCATCAAAGCTTAGATCAAACTTCATCCATCATCTGGAAAGAACAAAGGTCTTAAATTTTTAAAATGAGGTATTATTTAACTTATTAAATACAACTAATTTTTAATTATTTCAACATTAACATTTCCATCATATTGTTTCTTTTTGTAAACGATACATTTATAAGAAAATATAGGTTTTAATTCATTTTGGATACTATTCATTTAAAAAAAAAATATGATGACCATAAATTTATGATAAAACCTAAAATATAATTATTGAATAACTACTATAATTTTAAAAAAAATGTGATTTTATTAAGAAAAATCATATACTTTAAACATTAAAAAGAAAAAATGAATCATCAAATGAATCATATAATTTTAAAGTCTTTCATTTAAACTTTTTTTACTTTTTAAGTACATAAATTGGTTGATTGGGTATGAGAAATAAGATTGCCATACATATGAACGGAGAGGATACTATTGTGCAAAATCTATAAATCCCTTACTACAATACAAAAAGTTAATAAAAATCATTTAAACTTGAATTATTCAATTATTTAGCGCTTGTTAACGTGTTAGATAAATTTCTCATTGATTAGACTTTGTTTGGAGAAGAAGCATATTCTATACAAGAAAAACTAACTGAAAGAAGTTAGTTTTTGGTATCTTTTGTTTTCATTAATGTACCATGATTCTTAATAATTAGTTGCCAATATTTAATCCACTAATTGGTTATATCTAAGGTTACTTTTCCCTCTACCCTTTTCCTTTGGAAGTGTTATGCTGCCTTTGTCTTTGGCATTGGCTTTATCCTCTTTGCCCTTGAATACAAGAAAACTCCAACAAGTGCAACAGCAGTTCCTGCAGTCACATGCAGACCACACAAGAAAGGGAAGAAGAAGTTAGAGGAATTTTGATTCACTTATGTTTGAGAGTGCAAGTTACAAAAGACACCAATAATTTTTAGACCATGAGAGACTTACCAAGTGTGTTAACTGGTGAGACAGCAGTTTGGAAAAAGATAACTGAAGAGACTATGACAATCACACGCTTCACACAATTTCCAACTGAATGAGTCACAGGTGATACCATCTGTAATATCCCATAAGAAACCTGCCACCAAAAAATTCATTTAGCACCAAGACATTGATTGATACCACAATATTCGAATAAGTGACATCCTTTTTATCCATTTATATAATAGTCTCGGCGCTGTGTATCTTTGACATGCGGATTACATCATATGTCTTTCGTTTTCCTCGCTCTTAACAATGACAAAATAGTGTAAGCCGAACATGAGAGTATACTGCCACCAAAAGAGTAAATCTCGGTACACAAGGCTCCTCGACTTGTAAGGATAGGGTAAGCTGAACGAGAGTATACTGCCACCAAAAGGGTAAACCTCGATACACAAGGCTCCCTGATAGGGAAGCCCCCATTATTTACATGAGTGAAACAAAACAATAAGAAAGGCATCACCTGTTGGTATGCATGGAAGCAGAATGCAGCCAAAACTGATCTCACACATAGCTCTCTAAGATTCAATCCTTGGCTTGCCTATATAGGGAAGAAAAGCATACTAAATCTTAGGAAGATGTTTCTCTTCACAAATTATTTAAAAAAGGAAAAATAGAGACAACAAGCATATAATTTTTTTTAATAAAATGTACGACTCATAAACATACAGCAGATTGCAGGTATGAAGGAGTAAACTTGACACCCTCCAAAAATATAGCACATGGGACCAACATGATAAAGGAAATGATGGTTATAACTGAGTAGATATTGATATTGTCCATAGTTTCCTGTCATGAACAAGCTTCAAGTTATGAGCCGTATTTTGAACAGAATATTGTATATGAGTTCCAATAAGTAATGTGCTAATTAGCACAAACAAAGATAGAAAAACTTCATTTTGTAACTACCTTGTAACAACAACAAAGTTAATGTACTATATAGATCTGGAAAGTTCTTTACCTCTTCATTGGCCATTAGTTTTTTGCTCAAAACATTCCGTGATTGATTAGTAAGGTTAGATGCCATAGCAGTAATGAACCCAATCCTGTTTTGAGATAGAACATGTAAGAACCCGCACCGTTAATTAAGGTATTTAATTAATTAATTATGTGAAAATAGAAAATGAATCCATAATTGAACCTAATAATTATTTATGAGGCTTAATAATCATAATTAGTGATTAAGAATGCTGAAAGTCGCTTTTCGGAAGAAAAGTGCATATACCGGTTCTGCTAGTCGGTATAAATGTGTACCGAAAAAATATCCCGGAAAATTAATGTAAGTGCATGATAGTTACTAGAATAATATGTAGGACTTGTAAAACGAGTTTCAAGTCCAAATAATGAGAACCGGTGCTAGAAACCGGTATTGGCTTTGAAAAGCGCGTACCGAAAAGGTGCTCAAAAAAATATAAGAAAAATATGATAAATCTTAGAAAATTATGTAGTTTCATAATCCAAAGTTTGGGATTAAGATGCTAAGCGTAGCAATTAAAGTTAATATTGTGTGCTTAAGTGAGTTTTGACTATAAATACACTTACTAAGGGCACAATGCCCTAGAAAACTGCCTCTTCTTCGTGGGATTTGGTGGCTGGTCTGAGTGTGTCACTGTTTCATCCCTTTCTTCACCATTTCTTGAGCTTTGAGGCTTTCTCTTCCTTGAAAGCTTCTCTTAAACACTTGTGTGAGGGAGAGTCACCTTTGGGAAGGGGTTTGTGGTGCTGTTTCTGAGTAAGGAAGTCAGCTTGAGGGAGTGTTGGGGGCTGACTTTGGGTTGGTGGAGTGAGTGAACCTTGTACTTCATTTTTTTTGAGGTCCAAGGAGCCACCTTTGGTGAGGAAGAGTCTTGCTTGTCTTCCATTTTCGCACACCCTGTGTGGTCAGCAGTTGAGGGGCTGTTGGTGAGCTCCAAGAGCATCTCCATTCTGAGTTTTGAGCCTTGGTATGTTGTACCAACCTTTAACTTGAGTTTTAAGGCTTAAAAATGGAAGCTTGATGCATGTTAAGGTTAAAAGATGATAACTTGTTGTTGGGTAAGGCTTAACACACCTAGAAATGCATGATTAGGTGTTTAAAATCGGTAAAAGGGAACCTTTTTGGGATATCTTCACGAAAATGCAGAAACTGCATTCTGTCGTGAAATATCCGGATATCTGCCCGTGGAATATCCGGATATTGGATATCCGGATATGTGTATTCGGATATGGGGTTTTGGGATATCTGGATATTGTATATCCGGATATGTGAATCTGTATATCCGGATATTGCATATCCGGATATGGACAGTGAGATATCCGGATATTGCATATCCGGATATGGTCCCGAGGAGTATCCGGATATTCTGGGATTTCGCAGAACAGTGGCTGTGTTGTGCATACAGTAGGCTATTGGAGGTTTGTAGACCCTAGATTGATGAAGTTGAACTTCTGTATTTAATGAACTAAGCCAGAATCATGGGATTAAGGGCTTGTGGCTTTGTTAGAAGCTTTAAGACTTGAAAACGTAATGAAAAGGCGTTGTCCTTAATTTGTATGCATGTGGTACATGTTATTGATTTATATTTGGTCCATATCAGATTGTGATCTGCTGTGATTGGACTTTGAGCTTGTGGCATTGGATAGCTAGCTTAGAGGTAAGCTTTCGTGTCCTCGGTTTAGCCATGTTGTGGTTCCACCATGTCCCATGGGGAAATGGTATATGCATGCCGTGTTACATGCTTTTGATGTTTTGGAAATGCTGTTGAGCTATTATATGTTAGTGCCTTGTTGATATGCATGGAGGTGTTCCACCTATACGGTAAGCCTGAGTATGTAGAACATACAAGAGGGTGAGGCTGTGGGTGAGGTGCAAGCGGTGTTCCTTGTACTACATGTAGGGAATAGACGTATTCCTACATTTCTCTGGCCAGTAGATAGTGATTACACACATGCCATAGATATCTGTTGCACTACATAGTTTTGGAACTGATAATGATATAAATGCTTTTTGAACTTATATTGCACATGTAAGTGAGCTTGGGGTGGAAGATCCTTGAGGACCCCTTGTCTTACTGAGATTTCTAGTTTAGAGATCTCACCCCACGTTTGGGGAATGCTTATTCCAGGGTCAGGTAATGTTGAGACCTCAGGCGGCAGGAGGCCGGAGCTGAGTTAGATTGCTATTATATTATGCTGCCATGGTTGGATACTGGATTTGTATGCTGCTTTTATGCTTATAGCTTCAGTTTATGTATTGGAGTTTTATGTTGAGACTCGTTGGTTACTATGTTTATTTGGTGAGCATGGGGATTGCCCATGACACATAGTATTGTCATGTCTTGTTTATGTCTTGAGCCTTTTGGAGTTGTAATAATGTACCAGGATATTGTCCGGATTACTTGATGTAATGCCGTGATTTAGATACACACTTTATCTATATATTGAGGTATTTCAGTAGATGTCTTATTGCAATTTACATACAGGCGATATTTTATGAAATTGATTAAGTAATCAAGTTGGTAATTGATAATGACGTCATAATTGAAAAGAAAAAGAATATTCCGCATTTTTAATTAAGCACCGCTTAATACGATGTAATGTTAATATTCCGGGTATACACGGGGTGTTACAGAACATGTCAAACGCTAGAATATTACTCATCGAACAAATATTGGAAAATATTTTATGTTCAGTAGCAGAATTATTCAATGTTGTCCTTGAAGGAACTCTATGCATGAAACATATTTAGTTTGATCAATTACCAATTGAAAGAGACTTCAGTCACTGATGCTAGTGCAACTCCTCCTACAATTGGTACAAGTGAAGAAACCACCCATAAAGTGGGCCTCTGTTCATTTAAGGATCAAAGAAGGTCAGAACACTAAAACAAGTATATTATCCTGCATTTCCAGATGAATTCGTAGCGTAGGATGTATATGCGTTAGCACTGACCACCACAACATGCAAAAGAGCACATATAGCTATTACTTTGCATCTCTAAAGAAAAATCTATTTATTTTGCATATTGAAAAAGACATGACATAGTCATGTGGGAAATCATAACAATACAAGGGTGGACCAATAGTGATAAAAGAGGAGAGAGAAAAAATATTAAAATAGGTACTTACTAAATCATAACCGTTGATTCTCTTTTATATGATTATGATTGTCCCACATGACCATGTCATGTTTTTTTAAACATGAGAGGATCCATTTCCGAATGACATAGAGTTAATTATCAAAATAACCCTAAGGAATGTAAATTAATGTATGTGCATACACGGGTTTTTCAAACTAAGGTATGTAAATTAAGTAACACACAGGGTGCAAGTCCACCAACCATGCTCTCGAAAGTAAGTTTGAAGCTTCTTCCAACTTTCGATTTTGTCTTGAAACTCTTCGAGGTGATGAGACATTCCAATTCTAAGAAATTTGTTCACTCCATATATACTTCTCTGCCCATAATTGCTTATAAAGTATTATGGAGCCTCTACATTCTTAGGTCAAAAAATTTACCAATTATGTCTTATATAATCAATGATCATTTAAAGGTCTCAAAAATGACATTTCTGATTTATGATATGTACGGTCCACAACCCCTCTAATTTCATTTCTCTCTGCCAGAAGAGGCTGAAAAATGCAAGACTAGTATAAAGTTCCTCTAATATGTTAACTACAAGCAACAGGTGCTCCAAGCCCGTAGATCATCCAGAAAGAAAATTTTATGTATATTTAGGGGAGGATCAATTTACACAAATATAAGAATAATAAGTCTTACACGCAATTTTAACTGTTGATCTCACTTGTATCTAACAGTTCACATGACTAATAAATTAGAGCAAGTAGATGTAATTGATATCATCAGCTGGATATAGATATAAGTTTATCCTTTCCAATATATATATATATATAAGGACAGGATCTTTTAACACCAGTGTTAAAGAAAAAGTTTGACACCTCATTTAAGAGTCGTTGATCTTGTTTTGATCTAACTACTCTAATTTGTAAGCATATGACACTGTTGATCTACCTTGTTCTAATATCCCTCAAATAAGGTGTCGAACTTTTTGTTTGACACCGGTGTCAAAGAATTCAATCCCATATATATATACATATATATATATATATATATATATATATATATACACATATAAAAGAAAAAGTGAAGACTTCAACATTACCTCACCCAGAAAAAGGGAAGAAAGAACAACAGTGAAAAAGGGCTCCATAGATTTGATTGTGTGAGTGAAAGACACAGAAACCTTGCCAAGACTAATGTTGGTCAACAGGTTCCCCATTGTATGAGCCACAGCCAGTGGAAGGATTGATGCAAGCTGTGAATACAAATAAGTTAAACACTAAAGAGTTTGAAAATCAGAGGGATACCCCACTCAATGATAGACTACTACTCTACTCCATTTTCATCCAATCCAAAGTACCTGTGAACCACTGATTTTTGGTCTAGGGTGGAGATGCATAGTCCACATCAAATTAATCATCAACGTAGTAAAGCCCAATTGAAATGCTGTAACTGTTGCTGGAAATGGATAGACTTTTAGAACCTAATAGACAACCAGTGCATTGCAATTGAGAACAACCAAAAATGGACCCCACACACACACACACACACACACAAAAAGTAAGAACACCCAGCATTCTTTTTTATAAACTGATACAAGCTTGTGTGTTTGAGAATTTCAAATTTAACCCCAAAAAATGCCCCTTTCCTTTCCACCCAATAATTTCATTTATTGCATACCACCCCATTAATAATAGCAAGTAGCAAGCAACTATGTTAAAAGAAGGATGAAATAATGAAGAACCTGTTTGTTATAAATGTTGAAGTAAATATTCAAGAGGTACCAAGTTGCAAACATGGCTCCAAGCTGCATAGTGTGAAACAAACCACTTGGTTTGATTGGGTCATCACTTTTAGCCTCAGGTAGAGAAGTAGCAAAGACCCTGAAAGATACAATTTTTGGAGTTGAAATGTGAAAAGAAAAAGACTTTGGAGCACTGAATAGCAAAGAAGAAGATGGGCATGAAAGTCCATTCATAGTGAGACTGAGTGGTGAAGAAGAAAAGGAGTGAAAATGCGAGAACTTGGCTATGGTTATGTGGTTAGGAACACAAAGGGTTGAAGGAGGAGTTAACAAAGAAAGTCTCTGCGCAATGGGGTTCGCAGAGACCAACAAAGAGAGAGAATAAGGAGACATAGCCGTTGTGCATGAAGTGAAGAAGAACATGATGTTCAGATTTCAGACAATAAAATGAGGTTCTTTCTGATTCTCAGAGGTGACAGAAAAACAGAAATATACGACGTCGTTTGGTTGCATTTAGGTCTGGTATTTATTATTTAGGTCTCGAATTTCAAACTTTGAGTATATTACGAATGAAAATCATCCGATTTATAATTTTTTTTTTTTATAAATTTTTGTAAATTATATTATGTATTTAGTGTAATATAGTTTGTAAATAAAAAAATTATAAATATAATCATCCCGTTATGTATATCTTTTTTTGTGAAAGATTATACTTACTATCTATTTTTCTTACTATCTTTTACTATTAAATCTTACGGTTGATTTTTGTCAATCTAACGATTATAATTTATTAAAAATTAATAATTAAATAATAAGCATGACCCAATAAATTACAACGATTAGATTGACGGAAATCAATTGTTAAAATTTAGTAATACGAGATAATAATAAAAAAGAGGTAATAAGTGTAACTTCTGTGATCTCTTTTTTCATACTTATTCTATTTACTCATCTCCAACATCATTTGATTATAATTCCAAAAGAAGAAGAAAAGGGTAAAAGCAATGTTATGTAAAAGTTAGCTGAGATTCTAATCTAACGATAAAAATGAATAGGTAAAATAAACAAAAAAATAAAATAAAATTTCTTATCCCTATTTCAAACTTATCGTACCTAGGGATGGCAATACGGGTTGAGCCCGGCGGGTCAACCCGTCAACGCGCCAAAACAGGGTAGGTTAGGTTGAGGTTTTCAACCCACCAACCCACCTCAACCCGCCCCCGCCTAGAAGTGGGACAAAACGGGTATAACCCGCCGCGGGGCGGGTTAACCCGTTGGGTTATAATAATTATTTTTTTTTACAATTAGGTAATATTTCATTAGTCCTTAAATTTTTGTGATATCCAATTTTTTTTTTATCTTGGTACTTCCTAGAAAAAATAAAGAATAAAAATTTTATTTATGACAAATGTTATAAATATATAAGTTCCTAAAGAATGTTTGACAAATATTAATATACATTTAAGATTGAGACTAAAAAATTATAGAGAAGTGTGAAATAAAATAAAATAATATTAAAAAATTCATAAAATATAATTTATTTTTGAATTTTAATTAATTTGTTTTTAATTGGCGGGTTGGTGGGTTGACCCGCCAACCCACCATAGAATGGGATGGGTTCATTTTTTCAACCCATATTTTTTAGCGGGTCAACCCGCCTAGTCCCATTTTTAGCGGGTTGGTAACAGGACAGGGCGGGTCACAGTATGTCAACCCAAATTGCCACCCCTAATCGTACACACAAAACATAAGCCGAACTCAATTCATTCATTGAAGACATAAATTTAAGCAGCATAATAAATTTAGAGCCAAAACATAATTTTAAATTATATTACTTTATATATTTTTATTAATCTTAATTCTAATACACCGTTATTATTGAACACTTAAACTAATTATATTTTTTTATATATACTGATGTCACTTAGATTTGAACTTATGACCTTATATAAACTATACAAATTCATTATGTCATATTAAATTTGATATTTAATATTATTATTAATATAATCAAACTCATTGAATAATATGCTAATGAAAGTTTGGATAAAAATATATAAAAAAAAGGTTTGTTTTTTCTGCACTTATCTGCAGTAAGCCAATACGACGTTATTTTGGGAGAGAAATCATGATTTTTTTTTAATTTTAATTTATTTCAGGGTTATAATAGTCTTTATATTTATAATTTTTTAAGATTTCAATACCAAAACAACGTCATTTTGGGAATAAATGCAGATAACTTATCTGCATTAACTGCAGAAATTTTTTTCCCTAAAAAAATTAATACTAAATCAAAATCAAACTCAATTTTACTTATATTAGGTCTTATTTTGAATTATTCTATGATTATAATAACAAATGAATTATTTAACATAATATTATATATATATATATTTATTTATTTATTTATTTATTTGTGTGTGTATTTCTATGCATCATAAAAAATAGTTTGCAAATTATTTTATATTAAACTGATCAATAATATTTTTTTTAGATAGTTTTTACCCGTTTATTAAAGAGTTAGATTCAAAGGTTTGCAGATGGTTTGGGAGGAAAGCTGGAAGAATTTAATTGTTGAATCTGATCCAACATCTGGAATCGCCATTCTTTCTAAAAATGGTGTTGCACCTCGTGAATCTCATTTGGTGGCTCGAATACGGGCTTGGTTTCAAAAAGATTGGAGAATTCATCTTGTCCACAGATACAAAGAAGAGAATCATTGTGCTGATTCTGATTGGCTGGCAAATTATCCATTGGACAATCTTACTGTTCCTAATATGTCTGTTTTCTGTTTTCTTCCTTTTCAGATTCAGTCTGTTCTTATTGCTGATTTAGCTTTTGTTTATAGAGTTAGAACAGTGTCTGTTTTGTAGTTTTTCTGCTTGGTTTTCTTCTCCGCGTACCAAAAAAAAAAGATTGATTATAAGTTTAATTAAATTTAAGATTAACATATTTTAATCAAATAAATTTTAGGACGTCTGTTCTAAGTGCTCAAATGTTATATCCATGGGTTTAGGCTCCACCGCGGTCGAGTTTTGTTTCTCACGATTTTTTGGTGGCTTGAATTGTTTCCATAATTATAGGGAAAAAGGCATGTTGATAAGATTTCCTTCTTCTCTTGAGAGGATTAGAAGTGTGTACGAGATAAGAAGCAATTATTATAAGTAGAAGACAAAAATGATATACTACGTGTTTGGTTTCAAAATATTTCATGCGAAAAATAAGTAGGACATAGCAGAACTTATTTTTTAACATATGTCTTAAGATTACACGTTAGCAAAATTTATATAATATTATTCATATATTTTTTTTTGAAAAAATATAAATTATCCATATTGGTTAATAGTTTTTTTTTTTTTTTTTTGAAGTTACCTCAACCCTAATTACTTTTTTGATGTGAGTTGGTTTTTTTCAATATTTTCATAAGTTTTAATTTTTTGAGTCGGTTATGAGACTAATTCAGATTATGAAGCGGATCAAAGATAAAAATATTTAAATCCCTTTGATATATGAAAATCGAACCAAAACCGTTATCTTTTCACCTAGCCGGCTCTCCTACAAGCTAACACCCTCATATTGGTTAATAGTTAGTAGACTGTTCAATGGATGGCTTACTTTCTAAAAGTCTATTTTGCAAAATTCCCCTTGCGGGAAAGCTGTACAGATTTAGAAAGATCTTTGAAAGCGATTAAGTTTAATAAATAACTCTAAAAATGGTATATTTTTATACAAACTCTTACAACCTGATAAATTGATAAAAAGAGCAAAAAGAAATTGAAAAATAAATAAATCAATCAAATACTATTATAAAATAGACCCACCTTACTTCACATTGGAGGTTGATATCGTCATAGCTTATGTTGCACCAATACTAATATGGGATACTATATGATATGTGGACATGTTAATTTTATAAAATATTAAATTTTGATATGTTAGAATACGTTTTAATATTAAATAATGTTTGATACATTGAATATATATAATTAATCAAATATTTAAATTTCATAACAAATATAAAGCAAAAATAATTTTTCATATCTTGTTAATATTTCATGTCAAATTCCATAATATAAAATGTTTGATTTATAAATTAATTTTTCATATTTAGTTAAAAAGATAAAATAAAATAAAATTATGATCTGTATGAACGTTAATCGCGTGTTAAAGCATTGACCATATATAGAAAAATGTTGATCGCATGTTGAATGCATGTCACTGTCCGACACACATTTTTCACATAAAATGATGTGTCTGTGCTTCAGTGGTCACATCATACAAAGCCATAATGGACCACGTTATGCAAATTTGGTTTGCTTAATTTAAAATTATTGTAGCTTTCTGATTGTAGATATTGAGTAATGAATATATCCAATAATGCTACACAAGTGATTGGTTGAAAATGATTTTGAAAAGAACCAGAAAAAGATGTTGAGATTTCAACCAATTAAAAGAAAGTGAGGATTTTGTTTCTATTTCACTTGGTAGGCCATGTCTACAAGATAACGGTGGAATGAAAGTGAGAGTGACAATGAACTTCATTTCTCGTTTTCTACAAATGAATTTCAATTTCAAGCTCCTTAAAATGTAAATACCAATGAAAAGGCATTCCACACTAATATGAATTCGATCTGTCTCAACTAACTGTAGTTGATACAAAGAACTTAATTAAATAACAATATGCTTATTAAACTGTAACACCTTATGAATTGTGTAAAGCAGCTAAACTGCTGGAGAGCCATGGAGAAAAAAAAGGATAAATTATTTGGGTAAGAGGGTTCATGTAATTTGTGTATTAAATAAAGGGGTTTCAATACGTCACGAAAGAAATTTGATTTTGCAAAAAAAATATAACTATTTATTATGGATAATATATAATTATAATATAAAAATTATTTTTTTTCTTTCGGCTGACATAACAGATAGAGAAAAAAAATAATTTTAATATTATAATTATACAATACCCGTAGTGCATAATTATAATGTGTAATATGACCAAATTTTTCTTTCTACAACATGATTATTATATTTCCCATAAAGAAATAAGGGTTTGATGTTTGTCATTTTAAATGACATAAGTTATGTCATTTTAGGAGAGAGATAAACACAAAATAAAAATCATGGGAGAGAAAGTGAGTGATTTTTTTAATTTAAATTTTAAATAAATAAATAATTTATTGTGTATATCTCTCTCCTAAAATGACATAACTTTATGTCATTTAAAATGACAAACATTTTTCCCAATAAAATATTGCTCCCAAGTTTTACTGACAAGTTTGACATTATTCATACTAATCCAGATTTTAAAAAGGACATTTTAAGATTTTTGATATAGAAAGTATAACAAAAATTTGTCGACGAAGTGCCCATGGTGGCTAGACATAAAGAAAGTAAAGAACCATTACATAAAAAGTAAGAGCTTCGCTTAGAAATAGAATCGAAATCATTACCTTGAAATAAAAAGCATACAGCATTCGTAGCATGATATCCAGGACTTTCCAAGGCCTCTTGCACAAATTCCTAATCCAACTTGCCGTTGCTAAATGGCGTTGATGTCATTGTTGCACATTATGTTATGGGTTGTTTGTGCTTATTGAGGAAACGAAAATTAATTTTTGTCAAAGTGGTTCCAGTCCTCCTATTAGTCTTATAATATTGAGTTTCTAAGCTGGAGATTTTTCCTAACACCATTGTCATGGGGGGTGACTGAAACTGAGAGAAATGGAATTATTTAAAAATTTCCCTAAAGCCAATGGGAAAGATCCCTCTAATGTGTTATTTAATATAATCATACCATGTAAAAAAATCCTAACTATTCGTGAACAAATTAATTGTGATGAGGAAAAAAAGAGAATAAATAATAAAATAGAAAGTAACAAAATCATCAACATTGATTTGTCCGTAAATAGTTAAAATCTTCTCATATGACAAAATCATGTTAAATAACACATAAAAAAACCCGCTCCTAAAGTCAATAATATTCGCGAATGCCTTTTCATTTTTCACCCACTAAGTACTCAAAAAAACCCAAATAAAGGGTTCATGAAAAATGCCATCAAATTCACAACCATATTCCCTCATCTGCATCAAAATTATTTTGTACTTCCCTAATTCCGCAGGTTTAAATTCACTGATTTCTACCGTTTGTATAATAATTATGACAGGGTGATGTAAGAATGGGAAAGCCAGTAGACAAAGTCAAAAAATCAATGGTTAAATTGTCAGGAGAGGCACCCTTATTCAAATTTTTCCTTTGACACTCTAGGTCCCCAAGATTTCAACCAATATCAATATCAATACCAATGGTAAAAAAGTAGGCATCTATCAAACCACTATTTAGCTTTTCCAACTCCAGTTCCTCCTCCCCTCAGCAAAAAAAAAAAATAGTATTTAGACCACAGCAGGCTCTTGGAGTTTTATCTCAAGATTATGTGCCACAGCATCAATAAATTCCTCGGTGTTCAAGTAAAATTCCCTTGATACCCTGCACAAAATGCAGTAATGCAGATTTCCAAACAATTACACATACAGTTTACCAACAAATATTTTTACAAAAATGACCTAATTATTATTCTTATGTTATTATCAGACTAGGTATGTTTATTTGGTGTGAGCATGTGGTTGTCCATGCCACTTTGGATAAGTTGATGTTTATGTTGAGACTAGTGTTGTATACATTATTTATCAGGATTGGTGTCATGACCACTTGAGGTGGAATCATGACCCGGTATTTTATTTATGATTATATGACAGGACATGCATGCATTTTCATATATGCAATTATGTCTTTATTGCAATACATAAGTTTCACACATGGATTGTTAAAATTTGTAATGCAAAATTTTGAAAGATATTTGTATTTTGAAATACTAAAATATTGTTATCAAAAAAAAAAAAAAATACTAAAATATTCAAATGAGAGTAAGCATAGGGGTGAAGAAGATGCACTTACTTAGGTCCGTGAACCAGAATTGCAAGATCTTTGGTCATCTTCCCTGACTCAACGGTCTCAACACATGCAGTCTCCAACTTACGAATAAAATCCAGTAATCTTTCATTATTATCCAGCTTGGCTCTAGTACATTATACCAAATCATGTCAACAACAGATTCAGAAAAATTGGAGAACTAGGAATGTGAAAAATGAAAAAAATAAAAAGGTAAATCAGTTTATACAAGAAACATCACTGCATGCACTCTGGTAGATAATTCAAGAGTCCATTATGCATCCAAAATTAAACAGCTAAATACATCTTAAAAATGGAGAGTATTGTTTCCCAATGGAGATAGCCTGTCGAATCTATGGAAAACAAGATGAAACACATTTGGCTCCTAGCCCCAAAATCATTAAATGATAAAGGCCTTTCCATCTGAGGTAGGAAAGTAATGAGAAAAATGCCAGACATTGGTGTGAAATTCAGGTGCAATTTTTTTTTTTAAGTGGAATTACTCCTCGCTAAAGAAGGAGGGCTACAATCCCAGCCCCTTGACCATATTGCTCTGTTTTTACTAGATAACAGTTTAATATCCATCCAGGTCTTTCTAGAATCTGCATATAATTATCTGTTTTTCCATCCTTTCACTTTCAGCCAGTTATATGAACACCCAATGATCCTTTTCTATAAAATCTAAAGTTATCAAAATGGCATCCATGTCATCACAAAAACAATGCCACAACAGAGATTAAGACTTAGTTGTCTCCAACGGAAGATAGGAGGGGAAAGAAAAATTATCAGCCTTGAAAATAGTTACTCTTATTCTCATGGTAGATTTCAGAAATGGCATACAGTATGTTACACTGCTCAGTCTGGGAAAAAGCTTAACTAAAAAGACCAAGGCCACGTAAGTATAGAAGTTATGCACTAAAAAAGAGATTACAATTTATCCAATTATATTAATCTCCAACAATCTAAAACTTAAGCTAAAACTTTGAAGTTGTAATTATGCACTCTCACCCTTTGAGCTAACTTTTGGGGTGGTGTATCCCAAGGTTCTTTAACAGAAGTGTCCACTCATACATGAAAATGCGATTAACAAGGGAAAATGTTTGGAAGAAAGTAGTACCTATGTTCCAGTCCTCGTGTCCATGCAAATATGGAAGCAATACTGTTTGTACTAGTTTCTTGTCCCTTTTGATGAAACCGAAAATGCCGTGTTACAGTTCCATGAGCAGCCTCAGCTTCTAATGTCTTGCCATCAGAAGATAACTGCAAAATTTTGGGGGTGCAATAGAGTATGACATCAAATAACCAAAATAAAGATAACAATGTTCTTGAAGAAATATTGAAATAATAATATTCTAATATGTACCAGCACAGAAGTCATGAGACCCAATGAGCCGAATCCTGCACACAAGAAAAGACTTTAAGAAACTTGATTGAATATATACCTCCTAGCATGTCAGAATTATTCTTGTCCAAAATTTTCAATTGCTCTCTTTCACGTTTAATAAATACACTCAAATAATGGAAAAATAAAATTAACAACTAAATCTGAACAGACAGACATTCACAGGGTTAATTGACCGTGTAAGCCGACCATAGAAGACAAGAATTTCAATATTTCAGTAACAAATAATCAAAAATAAGGAAGAGTTCTTAACATTCCTTGCAACTTTCTGCTTAGTGATCATATTGTTGTATCATTTCACGATGAAGAAAAACACAATGCATTTCTCTTGTGCACACATATAGACCTATGTGAATGTAAAGCAAGAGATAGTAGGTTTTTCTTGTTTGCAAAACTTGCCACTTACAACAATTTTTGGTAATTGCTTATTTCCTATCAAATCTTTTTCTTAAGGCCATTTTCCCATGTGCATTTTATAAGGGATGAATAATGCCATAATAACAAAAAATTTCATAATAATGCCTTTATCAAAGTTAATTTATTTGATAATATTAGCTACCTCTAATTAGAAGACCCAATCAAAGAAAATTATGATGTTATCATCTCTATATTTAGGGTCCTCCTTGATAAGAAACAGAGCTCCCTCACCCTGTATGATTCTAATGTTGAGTATCCCAGATTTACACATTTGCTGAGCCAAATGGCTAGGACTAGGATATAATACCTTTTTATATTGGTAAAACTTAATCACTTTTGACAGTTTGTATTTAACAATGGATCTAAACTGAAATGTTAGGTAGGGCTACTGGCTAATCAACAAATTAATGCTTGTTGACATCATACATACATACAATCATCATACTTCCCCCAAGTTCCCATTTTGGACATAAAAAATAAGTTCTATATATCACCTTGAGCAAGTAAATCACTCTGGACATCACCATCATAATTCTTGCAAGCCCAAACATATCCACCTTCACTCTTGAGAGCATATGCCACCATGTCATCGATTAGCCTATGCTCATACCTGAAGTTACTTAAAAGTGTCAACCACCTACATGTATATGTAATGCATCAAAGCAAATCGGTTCATAAACATCAAAACAAACCATATCGAGTGTTCTTCAAACTTTTGCTTCCACCTTTCTTCATAAACCTCTTGGAATATGTCTTTAAATCTGTAATAATCTCAAAACTGTAAAACATATCCAATAACAACAACGAAAAAGAAAGGCTGCCTGAATTACAAATAAGTTCTGCATACAAAGGTGACACTTGAAAACATGAACTAATCCAGAGATATAATAGTAATCACCTGCCATCATATTTCTTGAGAATTGTGTTTTTGGTGCTTAAGTAAAGTGGCCACTTCTTTGCAAATGCCAGTGACATTGATGATTCAGCAAATGCTCGAATGGACTGGCATATTGAAAAAACAATATTTAAATACAATAAAAGCAAGTATCTAAATATTTAATTAAAACACACTGCTGCACATACAAAGGGAAAATATAAATTGAAACAAACCTCATCAACATTATACATAGCAAGCGCTACACCTGGACCTTTGAAATTGTAAACATCAAGAAGCTCCATTGGAGTATCTTCATCTTCTGGGACTAAATCAGAGACAGACACAAGTTTGTATACTACATGCGTGATGCTTAAAACAATAATTTTTTAAATTGAAAAAAAAAGAAGTTTCAATCCCATCTGCAAGCAGGGCTTTGGAAATTAACATACCAAATACCAGCTTAAGCTTCCCCGGTCCTCTAATTATTGTATCAGTAGCACGGTACTGATCACCAAAAGCATGCCTACCAATACATATGGGTTTTTTCCATCCTGTAAACTGAAGAATAAGTTCCAAATGGCGCTTTGCAGTATTTCACCTCAGTTAGGATCAAACTAGAGTCAAGACATTACCCTGAACAATTCTGGGTATATTGCGGCATATTATGGGTTCACGGAAAACAGTACCTAGAAAAAAAATGAAAAATTATTACAAATCAAAATTTGAAAATGTTTTAGAATAGAAGTAATATTTTTGAAAACAATGAACCAAAGCTCAATTAACTCTGGTTCCGAACATGTATTACCAAGTATCTTCAAATGAGATTGCTTGTATTCACATGATGTCTGACAAGACGCAGTTAAAATGAATTACCAGAAGTTTATATTTAATATATCCGCCACCCATATTCACACTAATTTTTAAATGGCCAGCAAAGTTGGCAATAACCAAAAAGGCCCACATTCTATTATTCAACAGATTGAACTCCACCTTGTGTCATCTATCTGTACAATGTGTGTTCCAAATAGTTTTTGAAAAATTAATGTCTCATTTAAAACGATCCAGAAACCAGATTTTCCCCTTTACATTCACAGCCCTCTAAGGATTTTCCTCCCTTAGCACTTAACTGAAAATGTAAACCTATAATATTGATTTAAGCAAGTGCACAACTGTTGGGTTCCATTTGCAAGGTATGGGACTTGGAGTCCCACATTGGTTGTATGGGCAACTAAAGTGGGGTTTATAAGGCTTTAGGCACTCTCACTTTTTGAGCTAGCTTTTGGGGTAGTGCATCCCAAAGTCTCATCAAATGGTATCAGAGCATTTATCATGTGGAGTGTGCGTGGGGGCACGCACTAGCGAAGCGTGGTGGAATGTTGGGTTCCATTTGCAAGGTATGGGACTTGGAGTCCCACATTGGTTGTATGGGCAACTAAAGTTGGGTTTATAAGGCTTTGGTCACTCTCACCCTTTGAGCTAGCTTTTGGGGAGATGCATCCCAAAGTCTCATCAGAAACCAATTGCATATTCTTTATAGTGACGGAAATCTATGTTTATAAAAGAAACAGAAAAAATCATCATTTACAGCTTCAGATTCTTAATAATGTAGGAACATCACCAGATATGAAGTTTATTCAATAGAGAAATTCATGATGAATTCCAGTCATGAGAAAAGCAACAATATAATTACGATCAAAGATAAAGAATGAACTACAAAATATAGATGAGCTTCAAGATGATCGAAAGAAAAAAAAATTTACAAGCTACAGACAATATATTAAAAACAAGGAAATAAATTGGATTGTCAGGATCAGCAAATTTATCAAATGAAATGAATAGCTGCATCATAAAAAGTAGAAATAGCATCATAAATTTAACTTTTACTTGTATATGTTCCCAAAATAAGCAATCAGATTCTACAAGTATAATAGAATAAACTACTTTTCACACAAAAGCAATATTTTCCTGTGCAGACTAACATGCCATCCACTATATACATGGTCATCCAAGTTCACCACTTAGAAGGAAACATGTGGGGAAAAAGCCATACGTGCAATAAAGTCAACGGATAATATTATAATAATCTAAATTTGAGGCCTGCATTCAATATTATGTGCATAATACAAACCATTCAAAATATTCCTGATTGTGCCATTGGGACTTCTCCACATAGACTTCAGTCCAAATTCTTTGACTCGGGTCTCATCTGAAAATTTGAAAGAGTTTTACATAATATTATGTTTGTATAAAGAAGAGAAATGAATAAAGATTATGCACTAGCGTCCACTTCAACGCACTATGTAGGATATTATCTAATATGAAGATACCGGTACAATAAATCTAGCAAAATACGTGAGTACAGCACAAGGTTGCCCATTAATTCATGATAAAGAATATTTGGTCTATTTAAAAACCAGTATACAACTAACCAGGAGTTATAGTTGCACATTTCACGGCAACATTATACCTGCAGCAAACAGAAGCTTCAATTAATAAATGGAAACAGTGTTAAAAAACTATTGTTTAAAAAAATAATAATTATTAGACCAAAGAGAGGGAATGCCAGCTAAATGCATGATAACAAATCATCAGAAGCAGAAAAAAGAAAAATACATCAGCTGAAAAGAGAGTAAAAGATGCATCAAGGCTGCCCAATCCCAATACAAGTCAGTAACTGATGGCAAGACCCTTGAAACAGGGATTTGCAGAGCACCACAGAGATGCCAAAAAACATAATCCTATGCCAAAGTAAGCTGAGGGCAGAGAGACAGATGCCCCAACATATGCAAGTGCTCCACTCCAGCCAAATGTACCAAAGGATTACATAAACTGCACATTTTCACAAAATTTTTGCCTCCTCCGTTTTGGTAAATGGCAAAACAAGAACTTCAAACCAAACCAGCAAAAAAACTGTTAAAGTAGGAGGACATGCACAAAGCCTATCAAGGACCTTAAACAAATTGTCGGAAAACCGAAAACATACTTGACTTCAAGCATCCTGATCAAACATCAAATAACGCAAATCCAAAAAGCTTCCCACACATCACCTCTCCCCTAGAAAGCAGGTGCTTTATCTCTCAAACAATATATGCGAAATAAAGTAAGTAGCATTACTTGGCTTTCAAATTCTCACCATATCCTTAAACTTTATATACTTGCATAATCTCTCTTAATACTTCCTTTTTCAGAGACCTAGCTCAACCATCTACTCTCAGCAAACAACAATAATCAAGTATAAGTATGAATAATAAAAGTGATATACATGTTTGACGCTTCCATTCATTCCAAAATTACTCACTTGAGAGTAGCTTCAGCACTTTCTACAGTAACTTTATCATCAGTGGCATCACGATTCTGAACCCCCAAATCAAAATACTTTATGTCTAAATCCAGGTAAGGAAATATAAGCTGCAGTCACATAAAACCACTTGTTCGTGTCAAAAAAAAAAAATCCAAAAGAACAAAAAATGGGAAAAATTTATCAAAGCTCCCATGATTTGCTTCAGAATCACCTATGTCATTGTGATTTATTACATATGCCCTTATGCTTTGTAAAAAATAAAAAATCACAAAGACACATGTGATAAAAAACATACTTTTTGCAAATTACATGGACATATGTGATAAAAAAAACCACGTGAGCACGGGTGATACTGAAGCAAATCACACGACAATGGTGAACTTTTTCCAAAAAAAATAGGCTTTCATACTTTATCCTTTATCATCTTCCATATAATCCTCGTCATTTCATCACCTAAACAACAAAAATAAAATAAAATAAAAAATAAAAACATAAATGAAGATGTGAATTGTGATGAAACAAATAAAAGTGGAGTATAGAGGTTACCGTCCATTTCAACAATGGGATTGAGAACTGAAACTCTATCGAAGGTGGCACGAGCAGCGTAGCATCGAACGGAGAGGCGATTAGAGAAGAAGACAGTGTTGGGTGGAAGAGCAGCATGAGTTGAGGTTGGAGTTGAAGTGAAGAGTAACAAGTTAGGGTTTCTGAGCGTCGTTGAAAACGCAGAGGAAAACATGGTGGCACTTCGATGAAGCGCTGCTCTAAGCATTGAGTTGGGAGTGTTCAGTGAAGCTTACAAACTTAAGCGACAAAGATGATGACAACAACAACAACAACAACGTTCGTGTCAAACAAGCTAATCAATAAGACACTCCCGAAGTGTTTTTCATAGCTTTTTCTTATGTAACATTGACAATTGACATCAATTTTTTTTTAAGCTTAGTCATAGATACAATATGATTATAATAGCCAATGTTATTGGCGTATTACAATAATACACCTTTAAATTTACATAAGTCTTTAAGTATTATTTTTAACTTTTTATGATATAATTAGTGATCATTTTACTCGAAATTTAAAAAAAAATTAATTGTGAACACCATAAATATTATTTTTTATTATATACATAGTTGTATCTTCACATAAGGATATACATTACAATTGCAAAAAATATGACTCCACAAACTCAAGTAAAACATCAGGTAGTTATCATCGTCAAATATGATTAAACATAGGGTTTTATGTTTATCATTTAACATAATATAACTTCACTTTTCTACACACATTAAAGAGGTGAGGTCCACATATTTTTTTTTTCTCTTTCATCATTCTATTTTCTCTCTCCCTTTTGATGTGAGAGTTGGAAATAACACTTACATTATGTTACATAACACTAATAAAACCCTTAAACATAGTAGATGGGGAGGTTATACTTATTTTATTTTTTATCTTTTATTATCAATGTTGTTATTATTAGATTAAAATTAAATTAACCATTCTCACTTTATGTTATTTTATAATTATTAATTTGACTTTGATCCAATGATAACAAAATTTACTATGAGATAGTAAAAAAAATGGTAATAATGTAACATATACTATCTTTAAATAAATATGTATTAAGTAAGATATATTCATTCATGAAAAATTACATCGCTGTGAGACTCATTTTAATGAAAATTAATGTTTCAAATGAGGCACATTTTAATAAATAATCATAGGAAAAAAATATTTTTATTTTTACTGCATAAATAATTTTATGTGGAACTCATATAAAATTGAGTGAGTCCTATTATAATAATAAGAGAAAAAGATAGTTAAATCCAATTATTCTTATATTAACGTGACAGAAAAAAAAATTCTATAGTAAAAGAATTAAATTAAATCTATAATCATACCTCAATTAGACATAATTTCGCTAAAAGTTGTCTTAATTAAAAAAAAAAAGCAATGTTGTTAAATCCACCAAAATGTGTGATTGATTGCGGAAATATCTATGGTACTCCTGGTGTACCATTTTCTCAGTGTATTTATCCAATAGAAAATAAGGAATGACTGTTATACTTCATGGAAAGGAGAGAAAAATATTTTTTTATTCAAGTGTCACTTGCTAAATGTAGATGTACCTACTACAGATGTACAGAAGATGATCTGGTTATACTAAACCATGCAAACCTTGAATCATGCAATGAAAATTCTTCAACTATTACAATTTACGACAACTTAATGGTTCATACCGTTGATTACTGAAGTTTTATTTATTTTTTTATGCCCAAAATTTGTTTGAAAAAGTATTTAATCTATTTTGCTATTAATTTTTTTTTCTTCAGTTTCATCGCATTTGATTTTAATTTTTTTCGCCCGATTAATTGATCAATCAAACGACAGGAACTAGGAAGAATTCCTTAGTCCTTTACCACTTAAATATATTTGATTTGTTTTAATTCATATTCTTAAAATGTGAATATATTATGGGTTTTATAAGAGTTATGTCGTAGGAAAAGTGATTGTGTAACGTTATAGAGATTCGTTTTGCGTGCCATAATTTTTTATTTATTTTTTTGTTTTAAAAAGTGTGGGCTTCACAAAATGTTGTGAGAGTAGGAAAGTTTGTTGTGTTATGTTAAAGGATAAAACGAAAACCCATATATTATATGAAAAGGATATTGTAACAACTACTTAGTGTTATTATCAATGTTACTACAAATTAATTTCACATTTAGACGATTATGTTAATCCAATGGTTATATTTTTTTTCATCATTATATGGTTATGATTTCTCATGTTTAATACTTTATATTTATTTGTACTTTTGTATGGTTATGATTTCTTATATTTAATGCTTTCACATTAAATATAGAAAATTATAATCATACAAAGATGAAAATAAATATAACCGTTCGATCAACATAATCGATGTAACGGTGAAATTGATTGATGATAACATTAGTAGTAACACTAATTCCTTCTTAGAATATCCTCCTCATATTATATTGTTAAATAATTATTTAATTTAATTTAAATTTAAATAACAAAACCCTAAACCCTACTCATTAGTCATAACCTGAACCCAGTTCTACTCTCCACTTGAGCATTGTGCAATGGGGAAGGCGAACCCACTGTTACGCACCTTACCTCACTTCCTAACATGGCCAACCCTTCGCTTCCGAACCATTTGCTCCGGTCGACTCGGCTTCGCCGGAACCAAGTCCGTCGAGACTTTCAAAGAGGAATTCGAGATAGGTTCCCGCATCATCACCTTAGAGACCGGCAAGATCGCTCGCTTCGCAAACGGCGCTGTCGTTTTGGGTATGGAAGAAACAAAGGTTCTCTCCACCGTTACCTCCGCCAAAGGCGATTCCCTTCGTGATTTCTTACCCCTCACCGTAAAGTGCATTTCCTCTGTTCTCTTCCATTCTCGTTTTTTTTCATTGTGTTGATAACTAACTAATGGAATCATAACTGATTTGTTAAGTTGTTACAACAGTTCGAGTTTGTTATAACAACCTAACAGATTCTGACATGAGCAGTTAGTTTTAAGTAACAGACAGAGACAGTTCCAGTTGCTTAGTTACTCTGTCTATACACTCTAATATTTTGCATGTGTATAGTTATAACTACTTGCGTTTCTTGTTAATAGGTTGATTATCAAGAAAAGCAATTTGCACAGGGTGTGATTCCAACAACTTACATGCGGAGGGAAGGTGCACCCAAGGAACGCGAACTGTTGTGTGGTAGGATCATTGACCGTCCGATTCGGCCGTTATTTCCTCCTGGATTTTATCATGAGGTTCAGGTATGTGGCTATTGTTTAATTTTTTTTTTTAATTTTTGTTCACTCATTAGTTTGTTTGTTACGAGACGAGTCTTGTAGCAGTAGTAAAGTTGTTCCTTGTGATAGTCATGGGTTCGAGTATAAAAAACAGTCTCTTTGAAAAAATGTAAGGATAAGGCTGCCTACAATTGACTCTGACTTCTACCCTCGCAAGTCAGAGAGCCTTGTGTAACGGGATTTGCGCTTTTATTGGTTTGTTTGTTACGTTCATCTTTTGAGCCGAATTGTTTTTGCGCCTGACTTGTAGGTAATGGCAAGTGTTCTTTCATCCGATGGAAAACAAGATCCGGATGTATTAGCGGCGAATGCAACATCGGCTGCGCTTATGTTGTCGGATATTCCTTGGGGTGGTCCCATAGGAATGATTCGTATTGGTCGGATATTTGGGCAGTTTATCGTTAATCCTACCATGGATGAGGTAATTTTGAACTTCTTTTACTACACCAGTTATTGGCTGATTAATATTCCCAACCGTTGTTGCATTATGCAGTTTCACTAATTTGGCCAAATCACGTGATCTTGCATATGTGTACTTTGCTTGTGTTTGTTAGTATTGTGACTTGAATTTTATTCTTTTTTCTTTTGGTGTGTCTCTTGAAGCTTCAAAAACTAGTAGCAGTTTGACAGTTTCTAAAATTTTTATTGATGTTTTCTGTTTGATACTTGATAGTTTATCTGGAAATGTCTCTGTAAAAAACCTTGGGATACACCACCCCAAAAGCTAGCTCAAAGGGTGGGAGTGCCCAAGACCTTATAAACTCCACATTAGTTGCACATACAACCAATGTGGGACTATATATCTCAACACGCCCCCTCACACGAGAGCCCATTGGGCTTGAAGAGTGGACAATGCAACAGGCCTAGCCTACCTGTGGGAGTGCCCAAGGCCTTATAAATTCCACATTAGTGCACATACAACCAATGTGGGACTATATATCTCAACACGCCCCCTCACACTAGAGCCCATTGGGCTTGAAGAGTGGATAATGCAACAGCCCAGCCTACCTGTGCTAAGAAACGCCACAAGAGAAAGCGGGGGGCGGCGAGGCTCTGATACCATGTAAAGAACCTTGGGATACACCACCCCAAAAGCTAGCTCAAAGGGTGGGAGTGCCCAAGACCTTATAAACTCCACATTAGTTGCACATACAACCAATGTGGAATTATATATCTCAACAGTCTCCTTTTTCAGTTTTATTTATTTATCTTGTCTTGTTCTTTTGAATTTGAATTTTGAGTTGAATTGCCAATGCTTTTTTCTTTGATCAGTTTCTTATACAGCTATTGTTGATATCTTTTTAAAAGCGATTATCTGCAAAAAGAAAAATATTTTGGAGGTTGGTTTTTGCATCTTAGTTTGATCTCAAGCAATATTCTTTATGGTGAAAGATAGTAGTAGTATATGACTTTTTTTACCAATTATACTTGGTTCAGTTGGTTGGTTGAATAGCCTTCTTCCCTGTTCTCTTATTGCTTCTCATTCTGGCATTGCAGCTCAGCTTAAGTGATCTTAACTTGGTATATGCCTGTACGAAGGACAAAACCTTGATGATTGATGTACAATCTCGTGAGATATCCGAGAAAGACCTAGAAGCTGGGTTAAGGCTGGCTCATCCAGAGGTGATTTTGAAATTAGTTACATGTTTGACTCTTGATTGAATGTTATTGAGATGTAATGCTCTAATTGTTCAGGCAGTTAAGTATATTGAACCTCAAATCAGATTTGCTGCTAAAGTTGGTAAATCTAAGAAGGAATACAAATTGTCTATGATGTCTGACAAAACGCTGGAGAAAGTTCGTAAATTGGCAGAAGCACCTATCGAAGCTGTTTTTACTGATCCTACCTATGGAAAGGTGTTCGCATTTTCCCTCCCTTTTTTTTTTCTCCCTTTGTATGTGTTGAGAAAGTTAGGTGTTTTACTCTCCCGTTTTATTTATGGATTTTCTGTTATAATTACTTCCAGTTTGAACGTGGAGAAGCGTTAGACAATATTACACATGATGTAAAGAGAGTGCTTGAAGAAGAAGGTGATGAAGAAAGCTTAAAAGTTTTGCCAAAGGCAGTAGATACAGTGAGGAAGAAGGTATGGAGCATTGTTATAGGTTAGTTAGAAATTTAGATATTATTGGGCTTATTGTTTTCAATAGACAAATATATTATCCTTAATACTTCACTTAACTCTGAAAGTTTGACCATTTTATATGAAACCTCGGCTGTTTATAAAATCCCTATCTTTCCATAGGCCATATTATTCTTGTTGGGGTAGAGTATTCACTTGGGCCATTGTTGGGGTAAAATATAAAGAAATAAGGGAATTAGTCTAATTCAATATTTCTTATAGAGGAATATTGGTCTAATTCATTATCTTTAAAGTTTCCAAAGAAATAAAGAAATAATAACTGTTTTTGACATAAAGTTTTTAATGCTAAACTTGAAAAAATAATGCAGAAGGAAAGTTTTATTTGATCTTGGTGAAATCCCTTCCCCTTATATCTAATTTAGTGAAGCTCGTTGCTATATTTATCTTGTTTTATTATTCTGAAGATACCCTACAAACTTATATCGGACTATCGGTGTATAATTATCCACTATGGCATTGGTATGTAAAGAAAGATGATTGTGCTCTGCTACTAAGAGTATTACTGGTCATGTTATCTCTAAATCTTTAATTCTTCATACAGACACACATAAGTAGGCATATCCCCGCCATATAGAAGCTTCTTCTTCTTTTGTATTCTTTGTTCTTTGTTTTTTTTTTTAAAACATTTCCATATTCTTGTATCCATATATGTATCAAATTTGTGCTTTCTAACTTATATATCTCATTTATCTTGTTGATTTCAAATGTATTTGTTGAAGATTGGTGTTTATATTATCATACAATACAGATAGTCCGTAAAAGAATTGTTGCAGAAGGATTCAGACTTGATGGAAGACAGCTAGATGAAGTTAGGCCTTTGTATTGTGAAGCTGGATATTTGTCCATATTGCATGGATCTGCACTTTTTTCCCGTGGAGAAACACAGGTCAAATATATTTTATGTTTTTCTGCTATTGGTTGCTGAAAGTTAGATAACTGTGAAATAATCTTTCTTTCTTTTTTCCTGAGAGGTTTCAGTTCCATCTGAGGTGATATATATTGATATCTTGGACAGGTCCTATGTACAGTAACACTTGGAGCACCTACAGATGCTCAACGATTGGATTCTTTAGTTGGTCCTCCGACAAAGAGATTTATGCTTCACTATAGTTTTCCTCCCTTCTGCATAAATGAAGTTGGTAAACGTGCTGGTCTGAACAGGCGTGAAGTTGGTCATGGTAAATGAGTAACTTGCTAGGATTATCCATAATAATTTTGCCTGCTGTTTAGACATTTTGGGGTATGTTACGGAGATTGTCTCCTGTGTATGCAAAATGGCTAAGATCTCCCCTATTATAATTTCTTTTCACAACATTAAGTCTCATCAAAATGTTCATTAAAACATAACAGAAATATTAATTTAGTTTAAGAAATTACGACAGGAATACTCCCTCATTGTTAAAAGATGAGCATTGCGGCCCTAGAATAGGAATGGGAGATTTCATTTGTTTCGACTTTTGATTAATTAACCAATCTGGGGGTCTTGGTGAGGAAGCTTCAGCGATTGCTAATTGAGGGGGAGTGAGAGAAGTTTATGAAGGCTGGATGTTTTATGTCTCAGCAGTTATTGGCTATGGCTGCAGATATGTGCTTATCTGAAGATTTTGGTGGTGGATGATTCTGTGATGCTTTTTGGATGCCATGAATCATACAATGAAAAATCGAGAAATAATAGAGGGGGGAAGGGAGATAAATTAATATAAAGAATATTATACACAATATTAAAAGTCAAAGTTAGTTGTCTTCCAGATAATAAAAGAAATGAATAGGATTACCAGAAGGCTTTGGAGTTTGAATTTGAAATTTGATATCTCTTATAACATGGAAGCAATGGGTATAAATTCAATACTATTGTAAATGGCTTGAAAAGTGAGAATTGGTCTATCATTTTAAGACAAAACGGGGCTAAAAAATTATCAATAGAATGGGAAAAAAAATGATTTATGTGAAAGAACAAAGTTACTTTACGACAATTGACTTCTCCAGGTTTAGGCTTGTTTTATTAAAAGCTCCAGCAGTTTATAAAATAATAAACAGATGGACAATGAAAGTATAGAGAAATAAGGGAGTTCTTACTAATCTTAAATAATTGGAGTTTGGCTTCAGACAAAACTAAAGTTCATTAATTAGAGAGGTTGGCTTTTTTGTTGTTTTGCTTTTGTAGGAACTCTTGCTGAGAAAGCACTTCTTGCTGTTTTGCCTCCTGAAAATGATTTTCCATATACTGTTCGTGTCAACTCAGAAGTCATGGCTTCAGATGGTTCAACATCAATGGCAACCGTATGTGGAGGTAGTCTTTCAACTCATAGTAATAGCATCTGTGATTCATTTCTTGATCTTAGTTCACGTTAAAGTCTCAGAAGATTGAATACTTTTCTGATATTTTTCTTGCTGATGTAGTTTTAAATTGATAGGTGACATATTGTTACGAACACAGAAATGGGTTCTGAGTTTTCAGAAAGAGAGATGGGAAAAACAGTGAAAGGTCCAGAAGAAGAATACTTTGGTAGTGTTTATTGAATTACAAGGAACCTAAGGAGAGGATTCTCCTTCTAAGGGTTTCCCTTTCACAAAGAGTTGCCCCTTTCACAACAGAGCTTTGTTTAGTTCCCAAATCTAAATTCCCGAACCCTCCTTTCTATAGCGCTCAATGAATTTAAGCCTGAACCCTTGTGCCTAACTACCTATTCCCTTGATAGATTCTAACTGTAACTAACTAAACAAACAAATACCCCACCGTCTAACTAACTCTGACCTTGTTCCCATTTATACTTTTGGGTCCTACTGCATATAGTGTTTTTCAAATGAGGAATTATTATTAGAAAAAGGAAAGTCAATATGCAAGTATGATGTAGATTGTAACCAGGTACGCATACAGAAAATCGGGACAAGAAAGCCATGAAATTTAATGTAATTTGACCAACAGCAAATTACAGGCCTGTGTCCATGGCAAAATAGAGAGCAAATTCACTGTGAATCCTTTTTATTTTTCAGGTAGTATGGCTTTGATGGATGCTGGTATTCCAGTACGTGAACATGTTGCTGGTGTTTCCGTTGGTCTTGTTACTGAACTTGATCCGAGCACTGGCGAAATTGGGGATTATCGTATATTGACTGATATTTTGGTATTTTTCAGAACTTACTGTGTTTTATCATTTCATACAATGTCTGTTTGAGGAATATCCATAATCCAATTAAATATTTTTTAATTTTCTAATTAATAAACTGCTTCGGTACTCAGAGCCCGTTTGCATTGACTTATCAAAAAAGTCTTTTTTATGACTTCTTTATTTTAAAAGTACTTTCTATAAAAGCTATGGCTATTTAGATTTTTAAAAAAATATTTGGCTTTTGACTTTAGCTTTCAAAAAAAGCAGGTTTTTGGCTTTTTTTATGACTTCTGCTTTTTTTAAAAGCAGGCATCCAAACAGACTTTTTTCGAGAAGTGCTTTTTTTTCTTAAGAAAATCAGCTTTTGAAGAAAAAAAAGCCCATCCAAACGGGCTCTCAGTGTATTTTATGATTTTTTGAAATAACTAATATCAATGCTTGTGAACTATTTCTATATTTTTTATAATGACATTTCTATACATAAATAAGGAAAAGTGTTTGTCATTTTAAATGACAGAAAGTTATATCATTTTAAGAGAGATACAGACACGGAAAATTTGAATTTTAAATTAAAAAAAACCACACACTTTCTCTCTCCCATGATTTCCGTTTTTCTGTGTCTATCTCTCTCCTAAAATGACATAACTTATGTCATTTAAAATGACAAACACCAAACCCCATAAATAATGCTGTTAAAAAACAAAAATACATTTTAGGTCAGGATCATTTTACATGGGTGTAATTTACACTCTCAATCTTGACTGTTGATACTATTTATATCTAACGATTCTGATTTACTAGATATGAGCCGTTAGATCCAACCAAACGAATAGCTAAGATTTGGTGTAAGACTTTTTATTCTTACACCGATACAAGAATAACCTGCCCCATGTTTGTATAGTTGTTGAGAAGATGATTTTATATAGATACATTGTTGTGATACTTGAGTTTCCTACTTTTGGCTACCAAATATTTGTTTTTAATAATAACATAGTTGCACTTTTGACCTCTTCTATTCATGGTAGCCTGATGTGATTCAGTAATTCTATATTACTAAGCACAGAGGAAGATACTGAACAAAAAAGAGATTATTGATTTCATGCAATGGTATTATTAAATTTTAATTTTTCTAAGGGCTTGGAAGACCATTTGGGTGACATAGACTTCAAGATTGCTGGAACTCGAAAAGGAGTGACTGCCATTCAATTGGATATGAAACCATCTGGAATTCCTCTAGATATCATATGTGAATGTTTAGAACCTGCACATAAAGCCCGTCTTCAAATTCTTGATCACATGGAACAGGAAATTAATGCACCTCGTAACAAGAACGACAGTACTTCTCCACGACTAGGTTTAGATTTTAACTTTCTTTTCCCTTGTATTTGTATGCTATTGGTTTTAGTTACGCTTCTAGGTAATATACAACATCCTTACGTTTGGAACTCACCATTGATGATGCAGCGACCTTGAAGTACAGCAATGATGCTCTTCGTCGCCTAATTGGGCCAATGGGTGCTCTAAAGAAAAAAATGGAAGAGGAAACAGGTCAATTTAAATTTGAAGTTTAACAATTTTCTATTCTCTCAATGGTTTACGTATAAATGTAGTGTTTGGGGATCACCTTTTTTTTTATTCTACTATAATAATTTTTTGCTGTAATATATTGGTTAAGCTTCTTTCACTCATGTAGTCATTGGAACATTGCCATTTTTTTCCATTTCAATTAATGATGTAAAACAGTGAAATTGATATGAGGTCTGCCAAGGGAATTGATTCAATGGGTTCAGATCAAAGCCCTTTGCTTGAAAGGGCTAGGTTTGATTCTTGTTGCCAACCATTCCCTTGGTAAAAGATATGTAAATATCATGCTAAGTTCTTACTGAGGCTTGTGGTTCCTCAAATTTTTCTTACAAATAAAAAAGTGAAATGTGGTTCCTTTAGTATTTCTTTGCACTTCACATAGAAACGAAATTTTGTTTAATATTCTTAAGCAATCATTCACCTGTTTTAACTACTTGATTCAATCTTCCTCTGTGTTTTTGATTGTATTTTGAAGTAATGAAGTTCTACTATACTTCCTGTTATGATTTTTGAGGAAGAAGAATTCATTTGTTCACATTTTGTTGTCCTGCCAGTTCTGATTCTTCTTGATCTTGTTTCATCAGTTACAAAATTTGTTGCAATGTTTATATCAAAATTCTATTAAAACTTGGCATTAAAATACTTTGCATTTTTGGCTTCTAATTACGTATGTGCTTTCAACAGAATTTTTGCATGCTGTATTATATATAATTTTTGTGGAACAGAACACGATTGTATCACTTTACGCCCACTGAACATGTTATTATGCACTACAATCAGGTGCACGGATGTCTGTTGGTGATGGAACACTTACAATAGTTGCTAAGAATCAATCTGTAATGGACAAAGTACTAGAAAAGGTAGTTCTTTCATTCTGTTGAACCATTAATTTTTCTCTAATCATGCTTTTCCTTCAATGTTGCATTGTTCTAAGTGAGACAAATGTCTCAGGCCTATGTCAGGAATTGATGTGCTGATAATATCATGCAGTAATGTTTTCCTTACAAATTTCTCCTACAAACCATTTTATTACTCTATATTTGTTCATGTATATACCAAAAGAACACGCAATTTCATGTAATTATTAATCATGAATGGTGAAATAATCTGGCCCTCATCCCTTTTCTTTGTGGCTGTCATTTCGAAGGTTGATTTTATAGTTGGCCGCGAAATTGAAGTTGGGGGGATGTACAAAGGTTTTGTCTCCTCTATAAAAGAATATGGAGCTTTTGTGGAGTTTAATGGTGGCCAGCAGGGGCTTCTCCACATTTCTGAGTTGTCACATGAACCGGTATGTATGATTTTAATTTAAATATTTTATTTGCTCATCATTAAGAACCATATTGTTGTCATCTCTGCTATCAACAGACATAGGAATTTGTATATAACGATTTTTCTTTAATTTAAATAATTTTATTTTTTTTGAACTTTGTGTATCCTTTCTTTAGGTTTCCCGAGTTTCAGATGTAGTTTCTGTTGGCCAGCAGCTTTCTGTGATGTGCATAGGCCAAGATGTTCATGGTAACATTAAATTATCCCTTAAAGCGGCTTTGCCTCGTTCTGGAGGATTGGAGACTAATGATGTAGTTGAAGGATCTGTTACATCTGCAAAAGAAACAGCCAACATTTGGGCACCAGTTTGGAATGTGTCTACTACACAAGAACAACAAAATTCTGCTTCTGAGTTGCCTGTAGGCAAACATGAGGTGGATGAAGCAAAAAAACCCACCTCCCAAATACCAGTAATTTTAATACGTAGTGCTGCAGAGTGTGATGAGGAGGAGAAATCTACCAGCTTGAATCTGTCTTCAGAGGGTTCTCCAATAGTTAATGTGGTACAACCGGATCGCAAGTCGAAATCTCGTGGATCTCAAAATGTGATTGATTCATCACCCAAGTCAAAATCTCGCCGAACTCAAGATGTGACTGATTCTCGATGTTCTCATTCAGGACCCTTCCCATATACAAATGCTAAGAAGTCAAAAGTTACAATGCAAAAAGAATCAAATTCTGATTTTCAAAGGCCATCGGGGGATGAGGAGGAAGCTAAAGATAAGGCATCAGTGACTGCAAAAGATCTGAAACTTGGAACAGAAGTTACTGCCAAAGTTTATCAAATTCGTGCACATGGGTTAGTATTGGATTTGGGTGGAGGAGTTCGAGGAATGTACCGGTTTGAGGTAAGACTCATCTTATTTGTATCCTAAGCAACGTAGAGTTTCTTATTAGAATTTGTTTGTTTTTTGTTGATTTCTACCACTTTGCCAGCCTTAACATCCTTTTCTCATGATTTTGTGTTGGAGAGATATTCTCTAGTCAGTTACATTTTTTAGTTGATCATACTATATGCATTTTTAGTGGCACAATGATACATGTGTTGTACATTATGTATCCGTTTCTCAAAGTAATTGCTTAGATGATCAGTCATACACATAAGTTTACACACTTACAAATTGATGTCTCTCTTTCTTTCCTCTTGTTTATCAATTTCTGCAAATACTAATCAATTTCATGGTTGCATCAATTTACACATAAACTTAAGAAATACATACCATCTGTTTTGCTCTATTATTAAATTGTATTATTCTCTTCCTCTTGATGCATCACCGCTTAACCCCCTTTGTTTTTTGTCTGCGACATGAACCATCCAATTAACTTACTTACCAATTCTTGTTGTGTCATGCAGGAAGATAGCAAAAGGGACTTTAAGATAGGTGATAAGATGCAAGTTGTGTGCTCAAGCTTTTCTAGCAAGGGAATTCCAGTATTGACTACAGTGGATGATGAATAACTTCCTAGTGGTCATTCCTTTCTTGAGAGAGCCCATGGATGTATACTATCAAGATGATATGATAGCTTGGAAGAAATTCTTCCAGCGGACACCAATGATTTTATTGAAACATTGGTTTTTGATAGAGCCTAACAACATCAATCGATCCATATAACTGATCTCAGTGGGATAATGCATAATTCCAATGGACTTTTGGAACTTTTTCACTGCCCTGCCCTCAAATTAACTCTATGAAGCTTGAGAAAGCTGTTGGAAAATGGGTCTTAAGAGATTCTTGATGCAAGTTTGTCATCATGACTGCCATTTCATAATAAGACATTCAGTGTAATTCACTGATATTTAGAGCTTGTTTGTTTTTGTGGTGGCGGTAATTAAAATCACGGTTTAAGAGTCACAATTGATTCTATTGACTGTAAAACATGTTTGGCTGCAACAAGGGAGTTCTTAGGAAAATCTATTTGGGTTGTAGAATTGATTTTAAGATTAGACATTTTTTAGTTTTTTCGTTGTGAAGAATTGATTTTATATGTAATATTTATTACATGATTTTAAGAATATATTTACAATCACATCTTAAAAGTGTGAAATCCTTACGTTTTTTTTTTTTTAATTCTGAAATATAATTTTCAATTACAAATTAATTGTTTTAATGTTAAATCTTTTAAAAGTAACTATACTAAAATATAAACCAAATGGAACCTTGGTTATCCATGCCATCAGATGTTACATATCCGTATCGTATCACTGACACTTCAAAAATCTTGACGTGTCGTATCTAACATTTTTTGACACTCTGATATTTTTTGACACTCCAATATTTGTTGCAAAGATTAAAAAAAAGTTCAAAGATTACGTTGCGTTGCATTTTGAATTTCAACTATTAGATTCGTAGAATTACAATTATCATTTTATTGAGTTTAATATAAATATTTGGGATATCTTATGTTTCTTTATAAAATTGATGGGTATTATACATGTAGCTTTATTTTTTTAATAAATTATTAAATATTAAATATAATATACACTACATAAATTAAAAATATTATATAATATCAAAACGTGTCTTAACATGTCAAAATTTAATTTTTTTTAGAATTAACGTAAATATCATATCGTGTCGTATCGCGTGTCAATGCAACATAGGTATCAGATAAATGTATAAGCCTAAAAGCGTTATTCTTGATTAATTTACGTTGGAATTTTACACCCAAATTTATTGACTGTTCACTCAAAAGCATTTCGTCCTTCTATTCATATAGATATTGCAAGCGTATTGCTTCTTTAATGGCTTCATTTTCTGTTAAAAAAACTTGAAATGGTGTGACCTGGTTTTGTCACCAAGGCTTCTCAATATATATGAACAAAACGGAAAATTACAAAACAATTCTTGGTAAAACTATTTTTTATGAATAATAAGTAAATGGAGTTAGACGAGTCGTATTTTTTTAATTTTAATAGATGTTTAAGAGTATTGGAAATTAATTCCTTACCAAGATATGAATTACATTTTGGCTTTTGCATGAGAGACGCATTAAGTGAACATGAGGGGTATGACATTCTAGTATAAGCAGTTACTATAAGATAGGCTAATTTAATTAGAAGCATCAGCCCTAACTCTTCCCCTCCTTTTTTTCAATGAATAACATAATTCTATTAGAAAGCTCCCAAGGGGACAAAACCAAGAGGGGGCTCATCTGATTCAATGAATAACATAACCCTCTTAAATTAGAATGATTAACTTGTTCATCACAAAAGAAACCAAAAAAAAAAAAATCATGGCTTTTCAATGGGACATATTTGCCATCCTGAAGCTAAAATGACAGACACTTCAGTTCAACATAGAAGGACTGCTAATTTTAAATTAGCAGATTACCTTGTTCAATTGTTTTCACCAAGATGCTTCCAAGTCTATTTCTAGCAATAGAGAATGCTTCCCAAGATGGTAAATGAGGCAAAGTCCACCAATTACCAAGAATTCCAACCAAAGTGAACTTTTGATCTCTTACTTCAACAGCAGCCAGGCAAAGAAGCTTATAGTCCTGTACTTCAACTTTGCTGGCGTATAGTGACTGCAGATAAAAGGATCACCGGATGTGAAACGCAATAGTCAACCAGCAAAAGTGTTCCAAGCCGTTGAAATTAGTGAAATCCAGATCACATATAAGATCTAAAATGTCCTGAATTTTGGTGTTGGTATACACATTACAAATTCACAGTCAAAATATGATATTTGTTCTACCAACACTGAGGATCCAATTTTTCAATGCACACATTATTGCATCTGAATATCTGAAATTCCTTTTTGACACCACTTTATAAAATCCATAGTGGAAAAATTCTTTTCAAACAGAAATCATATAATAGTCAATAAATAAGTAAACAAGCATAGTAATTTGGCATATTATCAAACAATGTACCCAGTGCCACATTGGTAAATATTAGATTCCATAGGCGTAAGGAGATAAACAGACACATAATTGACTACACCTGGGTGACCTTGAGCAACAAAAGATAGAGAGTAACAACAGATTATAGTATCACTGAACATGCAAAGTTAGTTTGCTGGGACACTTATGTGGTGCTAAACTAAAGGTTCATCAATTTGCCTTCATAAGGAAGCAGATAAATAACAACTCTGGTATCTAAACAAATACATAATTAAGTGCTACAGGAACAGCAAGGGAACTTCATTCATTCCATCAGTTATCCATGTAATATATACGTGGAAAAACAGATATTTATTTAGATATCCATGCTAAAAACATAATCAAATATAAGATATGGTCACTATTCACGAACCTTAACCTTAAGAAATCGAGTTTCTTGATGCATAGATTGTTGGCACAACTGCAATATAAGAAATTGTAAACACGTTGTCAAGCAAAATAAAATCACATAAACACCATTCATTGTTCAAAAAAAAAAACATTTATTCAAAATAGAAGAGGCCTTAGTTAAAAATAGGGTCAGAAAAATGATTTTGTCACATAAAGAAAACTCAAGAGTAACCTAATGAAATATATTGAAAAAAACCAACAAGGTAAATCTTAAGGTTGTTGGAAAAAAGCCAACAAAGATATTCAGGTACATTATATGCTGGTAGTTTACACTTTTTTCAAATTATCAATGCGGTATCTGACCTGATCAACAAAAACATAGACAGAGAAAGGATTGGGCCTTGTGGTGAGGAGGAACAAGGTAAGTTTTATGAATAATATTGCAATTGGATCATCCAAGTTTGTCAACACTGTAAGAAAGAAAAAAATAGGAAGCCAAAATTTCCTAGCCAATTTCCACAAGTGGCGCACATTTTCTTCCTCCTCTGAATCGTCCTGTGAGTCATTACAAGGATCATCCACCAAAGCATCCCCAGCTACTTGTTGCAAATAAAAATGCTCAAGTTATTAAAAGAAAAACCGGGAAAAGGGTGGATAAATTTTTTGTTCTACCTTAAATTACAACACATGGACTCATCATATTGTATTCACACCCATTTTCTTCACAACTTCTTCATTTCTAATACCATATAAGTCCATGTGTTATAATTTAAGTGAATGTAGTACATATTACTTAGGACTAAAAAAATTTCCATAGGGAGGACAGTTAATTAGAAAATTGAAAAGCTAAAGTACATAATACCAATCAAATATGCAGCTCACCATCCATGGCATGAGCAATAATTGATGCAGATGTAATTGACACACCTAAGATGCTTCCACTGACCACGTAACTACCTGGAATAAATGTACCAAAAACCCCATGTAACATTAAAATTGATAATGCTCACAGATAATCAAAGGGTTGTGTTGTGTCAACTTTCAACATTAGCGTATTCCTTTTGCATATCACTTCAATTTCAGATAAAATAAACTTTTAGCTGTGTTGGGCATTTTTTTTTCTTTTTTTGGGAGATTTCTCCATCGATTCATCGATTAATCCATTAGGACTACAAGGGCAAAACAAGGCTTTCCCTATCAAATTTTTAACACAGCTGCATACCTAGGACTCGAACTCGAGACCACTGGTTTGCCGGGCATATCTAGCACCAAACCAAACTTGTAGCACATAATTCTTTTGCTTACTCGATTTAGAACATGATAAAAAGTATATTAATCTAATGATTTGATTACTTTATCATTTACATTTTTATATTTCTATATAATATATCCTACTGTACCAATTACCTATACCAATATTCAGTAGCTAGTGCATGGCATTGATAGAAAAAGTAAAATGGCACAAACATGTTAACGAGAATTAAATTAATAAAATTAAAAAGCAGTTATTCTATTTCAAATTGAATACACCAGTTTAAACCGATTGACCCAAACAGTGTATTTAAAAAACTTCAAAACTGGAAAATACAGAATCACCAAGTTTTGTTGTCTACATGAAGCAATTGAGTTGATGATTGGAGCAAGAGAAAAAAAAAACAAAAAAAAAATTAAAAAGAAAGAAAGAAAGAAACATAATTAGTTAAACTTACCAGAAAAGCGGAAATTACGGAGGTAGTTAGAGGTAAGACGAAGAGGCGATTGAAAAAGGAAGGCGCGTGGAGAGAGTGAAAGCTGGAGGAGGGTCTTCACTTTCAGTAGTGTTCTTACTGAATCGAATTTCAATTTGTTGTAATCTGAATCAAAAAATAATAATAATAATAATAATAATTAAAAAAAAAGATAAGGAAAAGAAAGCGATGAAAGGTAAAATTAAAAAGAAGAAGAAGAAGGAGAAGGAGGAAGAAGGGGTACACTTACAGGTAGTGGTAGTGAAGTGTTTGAAACGAGAGATTGAAGAATAATATTGGGATGAAGAGAAAGCAGTAAATCTAATTACATTCATAAACTTTCTCATCTTTTCTTTCTTCCCTTACTCTTCATTTCTCCTCCTCCTCTCCCCTCCCCTCATTTGTTTACCTCACTCTCTCTTTTTCTTTTTCTCTTTTTCTTGGTAAAGCTACCTCACTCTCTTTATATTCAAACAAACAAACATATAAAAATTCGGAAACATAACGGTAGGTCAGTTGGCAGCTGAGCTCTTAAGGGATTGTTTGGTGTAGGGATCAAATCCTGCCTCAAGTAATTTTTTGGAAAATTTTTGGAAGCTAGAGGATAAGCTAAAGTCTCGTCCTTTCTCCGGTTGCGAAGCTTAGTGCACCCACTGCCATTGTTACAATTAGGAGCTAGCCCAAACAGGCCGTATCCTGAGGGCATGGTGCCCGGAGAAGGTTGAATGGGGATATCTCCTGGCAATGTACCAAAAAAAAAATAAAATCCGAAAGATGTTTTTAAATTAAGAAAACTTAACTCAAAATGCTACTTAAATCACCCCCAGTACAGTTACATAAGTAGGTACAAATTAAGGTGAGTTCAGCTTAAATTATATATATATATATATATATATCAGAAAAATATTTCTATAGTTACTGAAGATAAGTTATCTGCATTTAATTCCAAAACGACGTCGTTTTGGGATTGAAATATTAAAAAATTATAATTATAAAAACTATAATAACTCTGAAATAAATTAAAATTACAAAAATACCATGATTTTCGTCACAAAACGACGTCGTATTGGGCTTACTGTAAATAACTTATATATATACAGTAACTGCAGAAAAAACGAGCATATATATATATATATATATATATATATATATATATGCTTTAATGTTTCTACAGTGAATATAGATAAGTTATCTACATTTACTTCCAAAATGACGTCGTTTTGTGTTGAAAAATTTAAAAATTGTAATGAAAAAGACTATTATAACCCTGAAATAAATTATAATTACAAAAATATCTTGATTTCCACCACAAAACGATGTCGTTTTGGGCTCACTGTAGATAAATTATCTACATTGATCGTAGAAAAAGCGAACTCATCTATACATATATATATATAGGGTTATATTTATCTCATTTTGCATGAAATAACTAAATTTCCTATACACACAAAAGAAGGGTGAGTCCCACTTCTTTTTTCTCTCTTCTTATCTATGAGTCTCACTTGCAATCTTATTTCTATAACATAAGATAACTATTTTCTTACAGCATAAAAAAAATTATTTCATATATATATATATGGGGCAGGTTATATTTACAAACTTTTTTGTTTACAAACTTTTACAAACTACACTATGTAAGACCGGTCCTACATTAATCATACAGTGTACGACAGGTCCTACATTAGTGTAATTGTAAAAAAAGTTTGTAAACGGATCTTGTCTCTCTCTCTCTCTCTCTCTCTCTCTATATATATATATATATATATATATATATATATATATATATATATATATATATAGGTAGGATCATTTGACACCAGTGTCAAATTTCAATTTTGACACCTCATCTGAGGGCCGTTAGATCAAAAAAGATCAACGACTCTGATTTGCAAGCATGTGCAGTCGTTGATTTTTTTTTTATCTAACGGCTATCATATGAGGTGTCAAAATTAAAATTTGACACCGGTGTCAAAGGATCCTACCTCTATATATATATATATATATATATATATATATATATATATAGAGGTAGGATCCTTTGACACCTCATCTGAGAGCCGTTAGATCAAAAAAGATCAATGGTGTTACATGGTTACAAATCAGAGTCGTTGATCTTTTTTGATCTAACGGCTCTCAAATGAGGTGTCAAACTTCAAATTTGACACCAGTGTCAAAGGATCCTACCTCAAATATATATATATATATATATATATATATATATATATATATATATATATATATATATATATATATATATGGGTGCAAATTTTTCGCAGCCACTGCACAGTTTTATTGGGTGCAGCAGACACAAGCAAGTGGATCCCATTTACTTTTTAAAAAAAGTAAAAACACACTAGGATCCAAATTTTATCCTAATGTTGCTACAGAAGTTTTTTTTTTTTTTTTTTTCAGGAGAGCTATAAAATCGTTTATATATATATATATATTGTACAAGATTCTTTGATATCGACAGTTAATTTTCTCCAAATTAACGGTTCTAATTTATTAAAAATTAATTAATAAATATAACCCAATAAATTATTACTATTAGATCCATAAAAATTAACGATTAAAATTTGATGTCAAACTTTTTTCATTTGACACCAATATTAAAAGATCTTACCTATATATATATATATATATATATATATATATATATTCTCAATTTTGATCATTATATTTAAATTAGGATTATTAAAGTTGATATAAATGAAAAAAAAATATGTATTATTATAATAAACAATATTAGATCCTTAATTTTTTATTTTTTTTAAATTCACTCCAATTAAACCCCAACTAGGGACAATGGGATAAAAACAAACCTTATACCTGTATAATTAGAAAGAGATTGTTTCATGTTTTTGGGTCACAAAAGACCAGCCTTTTCATAAATGTTAAAATACATTAGAAGAGGAAACATAAAAGAAACTCCTTAAAGAATCCACGGAAGACCAAACAAGAGTACTAAGTTCAAGTGCATCAGCATATATATTACATATAATGTTACAACTTGACGTATATAAACCATAATTATAATGTCAGTGCCATTGCAAATTATTTTATGAAACAAATTCAACTAAACTACATTTAGGAAGCATGGCATAGTAGTTAAGAAAGCAATAGTTCACAGTTGAGAAAAACAAGCTTGATCACTTATTGAACAATCAATTTCAAGTGTCAGAGACAATTCTGGTTATGAAACCATATTGAATCCAGCTTTGGCTCCTGAAACAGGAAACATTGATCTACAAGGATCCATCTACAAATTGAAGACACAGCTTCAGAACAGTTGCAACTCAATTTACAGATTCCTTTGACTTTCAGCCTCATCTACATTGAAGGAAGAGCACCCAAAATAATTTAGTTATCAACTCATCATACATTATAGAGCCTGCATTTTCCAGTGCCAGCACAAACTGAACACTCATCTGCTTCTCCAGCTACATGCTTTAAGCAATGATTAATCCTATCATTCACAACATCCTGCAACACAAGAGTGTTCAAGTTCAAGATGAACAGATATAATGCAAAATAGATCCATTATAGTGTTTTACTATTTCCACTTTCACATACATTTCCAATTGGTTCATAAAATGTTATTTGAAATAAAGAGAACATTTTGACACATGACATTTTAGAAATAATAGGTCCAATCAAAGTTGTTAGACCATGAAAAAAAATACAATCAAACTGGAAATTTGGAAACAGAAACAACTTTCAGGGAATGCTTTAACAAATTCAACTCAGGATAGTTTATATAAAATATAGCATATGTAAGATATAAAGAACCAACTCAACCCAGAAACTCAAACTATTAGATGAATATTAATGGTTTTATATTATATTTCTCTGACATGCCCCCTCACACGAGAGTCTATTGGACTTGAAGGATAGACAATGCATAGGTCCACCTACCTATACTAAGAAACTCCAGAATATTTAATTATTTATTAATAGAATGAGAGCGATAAGGATCGAATTTATGACCATTTGGTCACAAAAGAACTAATTCAACATATTAGGTGAAGGCTATATTAATGGTTTTATATGATTTTTATCTAAAATAAGAGAATTCATACCACAAGTAGTTCATGATTTCCAAGGGGTGCAGTTACAATGTATGACACACTAGGGTGCTCCTTCGCTGCCTCTGCACTTAAGGAAGGAATATCCTGCATAATATAGTTGAGTTCAAAAATTTTGCCACTTTCTATCTTCATCAAGTCGAAGAAATCATATGACAATTTATACAAGGGTATGACAGAGTTCTAAGCAGGCCTACCTGACTCCAATGTTTTCCAGGAGCAAGGAAAAAGGGACTGACAATAATGTGGTTCGCACCTTGTTGAACGCAAGATTGGAAAGCGTCCCCTATTGATGGTTCTGCTAACTCCTGAAAATTGTATAAATATTATTAAAGCACCAAGAAATTGCTCTATAGCTACAATTGTGTCAAAAAATGCAAAAGCAAATATGTGGCTAAATGCATAAAGAAAATTCTCTTACAGCTATTTGTTAATTTCTAGCTACCAGACATAGAATGAAAGGAAAGGAAGAAGCTAACTAAATTTCCTCATGAACGCAAATCATGTTTTATTGTGCATGCTAAACAACCCAAGGAAAATGCTAAGAATTGGGGACGTTTGGTACTGGAGAAATTTTTTTGTATCCGGGAATCACGATTACTTGGAATATAGTGGGAACAAAATTTTTTCAAGAATGTTACGAAAAAGGTATTTGGTTGGCGAAAATATTATTGGAAATATTGGTTAATTTTTCTGAAAGGCTGTTTGGTTGATAACAAAATATTGCTGGGAATACGATGAAATTTTACAAAACTACCCTTGTAATACATAACTTTTAAAGACGATAAGCTAGGGCACCGAGGGTAATTTAGTCTGATAAATTTGTGAAACACAAACCAAGACGTGGGAACAAATAATTACCATGTTCTACATGGTAATCAGAATTCACAATTGGTAGTGTAATATGGAAGCCAGGGAAAAAACTATACCCAGAAAAATTTTATGTTTTTCTTCTACCAAATGTGGGGATAAAAATTTCCCACTTCCACTTTCCTGGTCATCCAAATTGTTACAGAGTACCAAACGACGTAATGCCAGACTAGGTCACATGACAAATGCTTGCAAGATTAGATGATCAAATAAAGACCAAGTAAGGTTTATCCTTAAATAGAAGCAAGAGATGCCCAATTGGCTATAGAGACTATAGCAAATACTGAAACTCAAGTATCTATCTACTATTATTCACATTTCATATTCTATCTTCATTTTGACTTTCTGTATTTTTTTTTATTTTTTTTTATAAAGACTTTCTGTATTTAACATGAACCAAAACTCGACAGATTACAGCAAATTACCATATGAGCAGGCTCCACAATCTCGTACCCAGTTTTATTTTTAAACATCTTCACAAATTCATCTGACATTCAAAACAAGACAACTTTTAGACATCAAATTAAAGTATTCCCAAGTACATAAACTTTTTTTTTTTTTCAAAAAAAAGAAAAGAAAAGAAAATTTTCATGTATCAAATTAATACAACAAAAGTGGGAATACACAAGAAACAAATTCAGAGACCGTAATCAGCTTACTAAGCATGAGATTGGACTCTTCTCGACGCGACCCATGATCCACAATTATCACTGCATCTCCGCGACCAACCCCACCAGAGTTTTCTCTGAAGCCACCGCTTTGAGTGCTGAGACACAAAAATATGCTTAAATTTCGAGGCTTTGAGGAACAACTGAGAAAATTCGAGGATTTCAAGGGTGCCCATCTCGAGTTTGTTCCGATTTGAATTGCAGAAAAACTATAAAAGCAACGAGAACAACACCAATGAAAAATAAATAAATAAAAAGAGGAAATTTTGAGGTGAAGCATAGAACGAGAAGGAACATGGGTACCTAAAAATTGAACGGGGGAATCAAAGAGTACCTTGGGAAGGCATGGGAACGAAGTGAGTGAGACTCCATGGTATCGTTGACCACAAGAAAGTCAACAACCCTTCGCTTTACAAGAGACAAAGGATAGTTCTGTTCCTACCACGAGCCCCATGCCTCCAATTGTTTATTCTTCCTCTTCTTAGATTTTTACCATTTTTTTTAATTTAAAATGATATAATAATTCAAATCTTCATAATTGAGTTTATAGGGGAAAAAAAATTAAATTATTATTGTTTTAATAAATAATTACAAATATTTAGGCATGACTCATCATACATTCACACCTAAGTTAAATGACTTATCTGGTATTGACACGTGGTACACAAAAATTAATATTTTAACCGAAAAGCTTGAAGGCCATAACTTTTAACTCGGTGTCCGAATCATACAATTTTTTTTATTCAATATAACTTTTCGAGATCTACGTAATGACATCTCATTTGGCATATTTTATCTCTTACGAACACAGTTCGAATGTGCAACAATAGTAGTATAAGAGTGTTTAAACCCATAAGCCTTCGAGTTTTTTTCCGAACTAAAATAAGTCATAGAATTCTTTTTTTAACGATCTAAAATAAAAGAAATTACACTCTAAATTTTGTTTTCACATTTTGTGAGGTTGTTTTTAAGAAATCAAAGTACTTCACTTTAGAGGAAATTATATGTTTCTATGTTGTGCAATCAATATGTCAAGTTAAACCTGGGATAAGAAATTGGATTGGATGCCGATAAAAAACCTGCAATTAGATGCTACAGCTGTAGTCACGAAGTTACAAAATGTTAGAAATTAAAAGAAATAGAACATGGAGAGAAACTTTTATATATTTTTAATGCAGTACATCAAAAGTTTTGCATTTTTTAATCCAACTTAAAGAACATAGAATTCATGTATAAAAAATAAAGAACATGGAACTCTCACTAATCTTTCTCACACATTATATTCTCACCAATTTTTTCTCACACTTTTATATTGTGGCACTTTCTTTTCTCACAATGGTATACACTTTTTTTTTCAAACACTTGGTAGTAAATATATATTTTACTATAACATTAAGTATCCTTATTTATAGATGGACTAACCCACTTTAGTGCCATCCATCTTTAATTTCATGCCACAATTTACAAGATAAGTTTTCAATTCACAGTGATAAGAATACAGCCCATATGATAGGGGTAAGGAGATTAGTAGGATGAATACTCTGTTTGATGTTGATTCCAAAAAAAACTCAAGGACTTTTGGATTTAAACGCTCTTATAGTATTATTGTTGCAAATTTGAATTGTATTTATGAGAGATAAAATATGTCATATAATATGTCATTGCGTAAATCTCGAAAAGTTATGGCCTTCCAAAATTTTACGATGTTGAGATAGATAGTCCCATATTGGTTGTATGTGCAACTAATGTGGTCTTTATAAGACTTTGGACACTCCCACCCTTTGAGCTAGCTTTTGGGGTGGTGTATCCCAAGGTTCTTTACATGGTATCAGAGCCTCACTGCCCCCCACTTTCTCTTGTGGCGTTTCTTAGCACAGGTAGGCTGGGCCTGTTGCATTGTCCAAAGAACCTTGGGATACACCACCCCAAAAGCTAGCTCAAAGGGTGGGAGTGCCCAAGGTTTTATAAAGACCACATTAGTTGCACATACAACCAATATGGGACTATCTATCTCAACACGCCCCCTCACACAAGAGCCCATTGGGCTTGAAGAGTGGACAATGCAACACGCCCAGCCCACCTGTGCTAAGAAACGCCATAAGAGAAAGTTGGGGGCGACGAGGCTCTGATACCATATAAAGAACCTTGGGATACACCACCCCAAAAGCTAGCTCAAAGGGTGGGAGTGCCCAAGGTCTTATAAAGACCACATTAGTTGCACATACAACCAATATGGGACTATCTATCTCAACACGCCCCCTCACACAAGAGCCCATTGGGCTTGAAGAGTGGACAATGCAACAGGCCCATGATAAAACTATTGACTTTTTCGTGCCACGTGTGAATACCATATGAGTCACGCCTAACTTAGGCATGAATGTCTCGTGAGTCACGCCTAACTTAGGTGTGAATGGTTATAATAGCCCATCTTAATTAATTAGTAAATCAAGTGTAATTAATTAATTAAACATGTTTTAGTGAGTGAAATTAAGTATAAGGCTTAATTAAATGAATCTGAGTCACTTTGGAGTTAAAAAGTGTACTCAGTGAAAATTAAGGGGTATAAATGGGTACTGGCAAAAGTACCCAAAATATAAAAATAAAAATAGTAATATTCCTAGAATAATATTCCAGACTTTTGGGTAAAGTTTGGTAATTATTGGAGTTGAATAGATAGACGAACCAATACCCGCTTAAAGCCACTTAACCTATGTTAAGTGACTAAAAGCCAAAATGACCCCCATTTCCCCCCAAGTCCCGTCGCCAGAAAACAAAGAGAAGGAGAAGAAGAAGGAGAAAGAAGAGGAAGGAAGGGAGGAAGAGAGAGAGAGATCAAACCTTGATGGTTTTGGGTGATTCAAAAGCCTAAATCACTCTAAATCTTCCCCTCTTTCATAATCCTAGCTTTGTTTTGAGTGGGGAGCATTGTGGAGAGAGATATTACCTCTCAAAAATTCGGCCCTTTGGTGAAAATTGGGGTTTTGAGAGTTTCAACCTCCATGGGAGCTTGAGGAACACTCCTTGCTTGGTTGTGTGACCATTGGTGGTAAGATTCTAACCCTTGAACCTCATGATTCCTTGAAAATTGCATGAGTTAGGGTTTATGAATAGTGTTTTAGGGATTTTGATGAATGTTGTTAAATTAGCTATGTTCTAGGAAGAATGGAGCTTAGAGCATGTTATGGAAAATGCTAGGAATGTCATTTAATTGGTGGAAATGAGCCTAGATAGTCATTTGATAATTGTTCATAATATTGGAAAATTCATGCTTGGATTGGTTAGTATTCTAGCATGTTGAACAATTAGTGAGTTGAATGATTGATTGGATCCTTGTGATGTCTAGGATTGAGACATTTGGACCAACCGTGAGTGATCAACCATTGGGGCAAGCTATGGAGCTTGAATAGCTCATTGGAATTGGTAAGCTCATACTTGTGTTGTGCTTTGAATTGAGTAATTGATGGTTGATTGTGAAATACTCTTGGATGCAATGTGTTGATTGCATTACACCATGTGTAGGTGTATGTTTGTAAAAGTTGATTCCTGAAACTGTTGGTGAAGAACAAAGGTTGACTGAAGCATTGAGGTAAGCCTTCGGACCTTGGGTGTAATTCCCTTGACTGTTCTACCAAGCCCTGAAAGGGTAGAGGTTGTGATTGTGTATATAAATGCAATAAAATAGTGTAATGCTTTGTTATACGTATGTGTATGCATTTGGTGTGGCATAGGATGGTGTTTCCCTATGTGGTATGTTGCATGACGATGCGTAAATCATACTTGGTAGTTAGCTGGCCAGTAGGACTATTTGCATCTGAGTTTCCTTAGGACAGCTTGAGAGCTCGAGGGATTTCTCCTGGAGATGTTATTGCACTTTGCATGGATATGTATTTACTGCATTATTATTGTTATTGCTATTACACTGATATGGAACTGTGGGGTGGAGAGATGCTCCAAGGACCCCTGGTTTACTGGATATATTCGTATATCTCACCCCGTGTTGTGGGGACCCCCTTTCAGGTAAGGATGCTGCAGGAGCCTCTGGTGGCAAATGGCCATATCTGGATTATGCATGAAATGTGGCATTTCTTTTGAGTTTATGCATGCCTTTTGTAGTTGACATGTATAGGATTTTATTTGGAAAGCCCATGGTCATTTGTATATCTTGATTCATTGGATGAACTTAGCCTATGCTCATGCCTTTGGTTACACCTTTTGTTGATGGGAGCCAAGGGAATGATCATAGTGTTTTGTAAGCTAAGTTCTATGATTTGTAAAGGATATGTAATGTAAATGATGCCTACTTGAAATTCAATATATGCATGCTTGTTATGTATTGAGTTGTTGAATTGGTTGGGCTGAGAATCAATTAGGTACCTTTTGTTTAAATTTGGGAAACGATGAGAAAACAAAGGTCATGCTGCCCAAATTCTAGCTAAATCTCATGAGGAGAGGTTGGATGAGTGCTAGGATTTAGTATTGGGGCATGGACAATTGGGGTTTGTAATGGGGATGCATCTTCCCCTAGGCTTGGACTTGAGAAATGTGGGAATTGGAATTCCCTGGCAGCGCGCTTAAGCGCCCAGGAGCGCGCCCAAGCGCCCTGCTGCCCCTGCGAGTGCCAATGCATTCTGCCTCCTCGCGCTGGAGCGCCCAAGTGGGGGCTTAAGTGCTCAGGATTGCGCGCTGGAGCGCCCTGGCGTGCGCTTAAGCGCCCTTTGCTGCAGAAAGTTGGGTGGCTTACTGCCCCCTCGTGTTTTAGCGCCCAGGGTGGAGCTTAAGCGCCCAGGGTTGCGCGCTTGAGCGCCCTGGTCCGCGCTTAAGCGCCCTTCGCCACTGAAGGAGGAAATGCTTCTGTCTCTGCGCGCTAAAACATCCCCGTGGGAGCTTGAGCGCCCAGGATAGCGCGCCTGAGCGCCCTGTTGCGCGCTTAAGCGCCCATCCACACTGGAATGCCTGATGCTTACTGCCTCCGTGCGCTTAAGCGCCCAGATGGAGGCTTTAGCGCCCGATAGCGCGCACTTGAGCTCCCGGTAGCGCGCTGAAGCGCGCGGGGCCTGTGACCAACACTCTCTTGTGTTGCTTCAAATTGTCCTAACTTGGGCTACAGTGCTCTGATTTGAGCACGGTTTGAAGCCACGGGTAGCTAATGAAGAAAATTAAACAAGAAGTAAATTAATGGTTTAAAAATGGAAAATGAACATGATGTTAAGCTTAATTTATCTATTTCCGCAAGGTAATATGGTTATGATCACGAAATTGGGTATTATAAGTTCGGTACGTTTTAAAATGAAAAATTTATCCGGATTTTAATTGAACCCATGTGATTGTAACTGCGCTTAATATCATAATGCGATGTTAACAAACCGGTTCTAGAACGGGGCGTTACAATGGTCATGCCCAAATTGGGCATAAATGAGTGTAATAAATTCATAAATAGTTCTGAAACAGTTATATATTCGTAATTATTTATTAA